GGACCCATCTCTACTCTCAAACTACCACCCCATCTCCAACCTCCTTTTCCTCTCCAAAGGTCCTGGAACGAGTTGTTGCTTCCCAGCTTTGCTCCTTCCTCTCCCGCAACTCCCTTCATGAACATCCTTTTATCCAGAATGTCTGTCAGACATCAAGTCCTGGATGAGAGCTGATTTTCTTCAGTTGAACGTCAACAAGACCGAGGCTTTCCTGATTGACTCCAGTCAGCGCCTCCACACCTCAGGCAGTGACATGCATCACCACCCATGGTTGCACACTCCACGTTGCTAAGCCAGTCTGGAACCTTGGGATCTTGTTTGACCCTCAACTATCCTTTCGACCTACATCTGCGCCATGACCCACTCTACCTTCCCCCACCTCCGCAACATCGCCCGGCTCCGCCACTCTCTCACACCGCAGGCTGCTGAAATCCTCATACATGCTTTCATTATGTCAAGGCTTGACTATGCAAACTCCTTGCTTGTCGGCCTCCCCAACTCCTCCCTCCATTTACAAAAAATAAGCCAGGAATAAAGCTGTGTCAGGTTTATTAGCGATCCTGCTGTTATTATTTGGCAAGTGGACAAAGAAAATGCAACATGGGTTCACAAATATCCAAAAATTAGCGCAATATTTTTGTATCGATGTTATGGATGTCTCAGACACAAAAAATTGCTCTATTTGCTACATGGAGGCACTTGGAGATCCTATTCTGGGTGGGGCACTGCTCAATCTGGAGGTGACAAACTGCTCATTTTATGTGAACTAATTGCCTTCAGAGGCAAATTAATAATAACAACTTGCATTTATATAGCGACCCTCACGCAGGGTAGTGTCCAGAGTGCTTGACAGTGGCGGAGCACGACACTGAGCCGGGGGGAGGGGGAGGTGACGGTAGGCACGGTCGAGTAGGAAGGCCTTCAGGCACAAGCTGAAGAAGAGTTGGAAGGGGCAAGACGGAGGATTAGAGAAAGTGTTCCAGAGTTTTGGGGCATAGAGGCTGAAATAGCATCCACCAACAGACGGCATTGGGACATACAGAAGGCTGGAGCCAGCCGAGAAGTAGGGAGGTGCCAGGTCATGAAGCAACTTGAAATCGAGCGTGAGGATCTTGAAATAGGGAGCAAGTGGAGCCTGGCCAGAACTGGTGTGATGGGGGTACGGAGTTTAGTACGGGTGAATGCAGGCGGTGGGGTTTTGGATCATCAGGATCCTGTGCGTGGTGGAGCTGGGGAGACCTCAAAGAGGGCAATTGATAAGTCGGGTCGGGAGGGGACGAAACACACAGACGAGGGATAGGCTGGGGAGGTTGAGGGCTTCAGTGCTGTAGAATAGAAAATGTTGAAGGGAGCCAATGAGTGATAATGTAAAATCTGTCTGAATTACAGTGTATATCAAAGCTCATTGAAGAATTTATGACCAGCCTTTATGGAATTTTACTCAAGGCGAATGTCTTGGATCATCAGACCTGTACACCGATGCTGCAGTTTCATTTTTATTGCCAACAGCAACATACCACTACTACTACTGTGTACCTTACGCATCATTAAAAAGAAACTGCCACTATGAGGTATATACTTACAAGTCAATGCATTTTATGTATGTGTAACAGTGCTTTGAATATTACATGTCACATATTTTCTCTAGCTGCATTCACACAGTGTTGAACCTAGTTAGCAGGTGGTTGGGGGAAGAAAGAGGTGCAACTTGGTTGATGATAGATTTTTCAATTGAGTCTGATCCAGGGATAGCAACTTGGGCACAAATTCCACTCATAAATTCTGATCATACACCACTAATTCAATACTGAATTTCAGACAATTTGGAATTTATAGTATGACAGCAACCTGAATTTTGGATTTGTTTTATGGCCACATCTCCACAATTCTGTACCTCATAATTTTTGTATATTAAATGCAAAGATACCAATGTGAGGGAATTATAAGTAATAAATCACACTGAACTCTAAACCCATAAACAAAATGCAGAAAAATGAAACTCCAAGGCATTTATTAGGCATCAGCTGTACATTCTAAGGCAAATGACCACTGTAGAATCAAATTCTACACGAATGTACAAGCACACACTTCCATAAATCATTAACATTGGAAGTATTACAAATCAATCCACAGTCAAATGATTCTGAATAGTTTACCAACACAATGAGGATTGCAAAAAAATATATTTCTAAACAGCTGATCACAGATTGTAAATCACAGCATTCGTGTCAACCATATCCATCATTGGGGATAGATTATGATAATAATTCTTGTATTTGATAATAGCGCCTTATCACGTTGTTGAGAAGTCTCAAAGCACTTCACAGACTATAACGTATAAAGTGAATTGATTGTATGTTTTGTGGGCGAAATGTGGCAGATAATTGCGCACAGCAATTTCCCATAAACAATCGTGGGATTGAGTGATCAAATAATTTTTTTTTCTGAAGGTATTATTATCTCCAGATAGCGATCCGCCAATCGACTAACAATCGGGTTCTTACTGAGTGCTAGGTAAACAGTTGTTTGTGTAGTAAGGAAATTTACCCTGCCTGGGAATCAAACCCAGGTCCTCTCACATGCAAGGCGTGTTCTCTAACCAATATGCTACAGGACTCCATGAAAGAGAGAGGTTGTGCACAAGATGATTACTGACTAACAAAACCAATATATACTGTTCACAATTCGCTAATTATTTAAATTTTAGAGCTGGAGATGAGGTTCCACCCTTGGATGTGCAACATTTAAGTGTCTTTAAACATCTGAAGGTTCAGGACTCCTCGAGTGCACAATACACTCCCATCACAGAGCAGCATGGCACACCTGAATGGCTTCAAATCCCACATTTTGGTTTCCCAATCTCAGTCAGATTTCCTGACATTGGCACTAAATTGGCAAAATGCTTGTTCAGAAGGAGATTTTTTTAACAAATGTCGTTTGAGCCACATTGCCGCTCACTTGCAATGATTACCTCAAGAGCAGCTTAGATAAAATAACCCGCTTTCTCTCTCGATTGGGAAAGGATAGGAGGAAATAAAAGATGAGCAAACGAAGAGAGAGGAGGAACAGTGAGAGAGAGGGGAGAGAGAGAGATAGTTGCTGCTTGCATAGATTTATTTGGCTGTTAAATAAAAACATGTACATCAATTATAATACATATGGCTTTATTATGCAGAAAAACATGCTTGTTATCTGAGATTTTAAATCCACTTAAAACACAATTTTTTTATCTCATTCTATTAATTTGGTAGTTTAATACAATATAAGGCTCAACAATTTCTACCTCATAAGGCAACTAACTGTTTTCAAATATTTGTACAATTAAAGATATCCCATGGCTCACAAAACCACAGGAAACATTATTGCAATTGCAATATTGTATCTTTCAATTATATAAAGCGTGGAAACAGGCAATTCAGCCCAGCAAGTGCGTGTTGGTGTTTCATGTTTGCAATCATACGTTAAACTGTATCTGGTATCAGTATAAAAATACTCCATTGAAACTTAAAGATATAAAATACTTTTATACACGGAAAGTGCAAATATTACCAAGTGGTTTTGTTATTCCTAAATCTGTGGTCCACATAGATTGTGGTTTAGCCACAATCATTACAACTGTAATAATTAATCTTTAATTAACTTGATGAATCAAAACTCAATTTATATATAGCAATCTTCTTTCTCACTTGTAATTTCCACTTAGTGCGTAAAGTATGTATTCCATATACAACAATAATACTTGTATTTGATATAATATCACATTGTTGAGATGCCTCAAAGCGCTTTGAGATGTGAGTGAAACACGGCAGCCAACTGCACTGCCTTGCAAATGACTTTTAATGTTTTAATCTATAATACAGCATTATTTCTAAATTTTTTTATTTAACTGCATTTATAAATCACATTGGAAAATAAGTGTAACATCACATTCAAAATATTTAGAAAGAAATTTAAGGTAACGGCAGCATTTGTAACATTTTAAATCAGAAGCATAAGAAACTTTGCATTGTAATCATAAATACTGGGATAACCATAAATACAAATAGAAAAAATTATATGTATTTCCATAGTTCTCAATTTCAACTTTTCATATTAGTAAATATGTACAGTGAAATTGTATCATATATGAATTAAAAACTGCATGAATTCTGATGAAACCATGAGCAGCTGTCCCCAGGTTGGTCACAGATTACAGCAGTAATGACAAAAGCCATCCATGGCCTTGCTCCTTCATACCTCTATGACCTGCTAATGCCATATCGACCCCTCCGCTTTCTCCGCTCAGCAGGCTCTGGCCTGTTCCATGCCCCTGCCCGGCACGCCCCATCATCTGTGGTCAGGCCTTCAGCCTCGCTGTCTCCATCTTCTGGAACTCTATCTCACAGTCGCTTCGGCTTACTCCTTCCCTTGCCTCCTTCAACACCCTCCTGACGTGAAAGTTGCTATACAAATGCAATTTATTGTTGTTGTCTGGGAGCAGATTTACCTTCTGATACTACTGGTGGAGGGAAACCAACAGGAACTGGGGAGAAGATATCGGGATCTAAACTTTTCCCCCACCTTTAGAAAAATCTTCCTCCACTGCCAAAACCATAAGCCTGATTTATTAAAACAAACCTGTTGTGATTATCTCTTGAAAATAAGACCATACGGTCTAATAACCATACGGAAACCCATCATCCTGCTTGAGAGTTTTCAAATCAGTTAGAGTTCCAAATATGTATGCCACCTACACCCTGTCCAGATAGGAATGTGCACTCTCTCCCTGGAGGGATGCACCCTGCTTACCTAATTCCAGAAAGTATTAGACATAGGTTGGTCCCCGATGTTAGTGTGTTGGGCAAACTGCTTAACAGTGCTAAAACCACAAAGCTTGCCATTATTTTTTAAATAAATTATTTTCATACAATGGTATTATTTTACCCATTTTAAATAAATCTATCAATTCAGAATTCAGAAATGTTCTCCTAAATTCTTGAAACTCTTACATCTTTTAAGTTCAAACTTAATTCAATGTGTTTTTATTTGATTCTGGCAATGTTCTTTAACTTAGACTAAATTCTAGATAAATGCCTAATTAACGCAGCAGCTTCTTCCTTTGCACCAAAAGCTAATTTCAAAATTTCTGTTGATATATTTCCTTCTTCTGGATGTGGAAATGGAATGATTTTCTGATCCTTTGTTTTCCATTTTGAAGCATGTTCTTTACAACCCATTTCAGTGTTAGACTCTTTTGCACTTATTTTGGTAAATAAGAGGTCGATTTTGTGAAAACAACCATGGTCATACACAAACACTCTTCTTAAGTCAGTGAGCCTGAAAAGGTCAATCTTGTCAAATTGTGACCTTGTTGGTAAGGTGTAAACACCTCTAGGAATAGGATAAAATACAACATCTTCCCTGAGAAGGCCAATGTGTGTATTAGTGAGAACCAATGACTTAAAGAGGGCAGTAGATGTTCTAGTGTCGTCTTCTAACCTCACCGTAGTGTAAAAGATTACATCGACATCTGCCAGGGGAAGTTTATTTTCCAACATATTTCCATGGATGAAATAGACAAGATCAGCGAGTGTATTCCTGAACTTGCTAGAAAACTGTACTCTATTGGCTAGCATGAACCCGATGGTCTCAGATTTCCAACCCAATGAAAGTTGCATCAAATCCCCTTTTAGAAGTGGGTGGCTTAAAAAGTTACTTTCAGCATCTGCGACGGTCAGAACACTGACAAGGTCACAACAAATCTGTTGCGTAAGGTATTTGTTGAATGTAACAATTGTTAAGATACTTTCCTCAGTGGTGCCAAGGAGCCGAAGTCCCTGACCACAAAAGTTAACCTGAACTTCTTTAATAGTTTCAAGATGAAGAATATGGAAAATTGCCAGAGAGCGACCGTTGTTTCCTTGCTGGCAATTCGTAGCTGACACTACAACATATAGAGCTGAGTCAAACAAGAAGATGGAAGCAGGCTGTGGATCTGGCATTAAGCAATTAGCTGCAGCTAACCAGTATATTCCTATCAGACGTGCATTTCCAATACCAGCCTGTGGTAAGCTAAACTGTAGCATCTCCAGAATTTTTTGTATGGGGTCAGCTTGAAGCAGGCAGAGATCATCTGGGAACTGTACTAATCTTTGTCTTAACACATGAACGTCTTCAAAATTTTCTTCATTCATGCCAACTGAACCTTCAGGAGAACCTAATGGCTGTTTCATTACTGGGAACTTCAGTACATTTTCTTCACTAACATTGCTGCCAGATGATTTAATGCTCCAGGGCTGACTCAAATCATAAATACTGAGCTTAGACGTGTCTGAAAAACATTGCTGTGGTTGCTGCAAATTTGGACTCAAGGTTACCTCCAGCTGTATTTTCTTCACAAATGAAAGGTCTTTTATTAACGATGACATTTGTGCATACCAGTGGCGTTTCTCAAACAGATACTTTAATGCCCTAACCTGCTTGATGACCTTCTGATAGTTCTGCAGTTCGTGGCATGCATCTTTATATGGACGAGCCAGTTTACTGAAAAAGTAAGTTGGCCCATAGCTCTGTTCTTGTCTGATGTTTGAAGATTCAATATCTGGGGTGCTTCTTCTGGCTTTATCGAAGCTTCTCACACACAGATAGGAATCTGATGGATGTCCGACAAGACTCTTGCAAGATACGTTGGGAGGACAGCAGCACTTCTGTGTAAGGATTTCTGATAACACATTGTTCTTTCCTAAGCCATGCACAGTTTTAAATCCCATTTGCTGGATGTCATGGAAAGCACTACAAGTCTCATCTAAATGCATCTGTGAAAAACCCAGAACAGCCTTAGAAGTCTCAACCCAGGAGCAGTTGCATCCCCATTCCATGTTTTTCTGAATCTGTTTGCCATATGCATGTTTCTTTATCCTTAATTGGACATCATCATTATCAATGCTTTGAATTCTACACTGATATCTCGCACAACTCTTTCCCATATATGGATTGCAAACAGCATTTCTCTGCCATGTTTTCATTCTTGAAATCTGTTCAGTTTTCGCCGGCACATTAGGCGCAGTGCAGTCAGCAGAAAATACATTTGTTTGCTGTGCAACTTGGTCTTTTAATTCTAGTAGTACTGGTTCAGCATACACAGGTTTAGCATTTCCACCATCACAAGGCCAAACACCAGAATTTCCTTTAAGATTTATGCAACGCATTTGCCAGTGTCTTATCTCGGGTTCATTCACACAACAGTAAGCACCTACGTTAGGAATGGTTGGGAAGCTATGCCAAGGCACAGGACTTTGCTTTTTCTGTTTGAAACAATTAAAAAGAAAAGAAAGGAGGAACCTGTTGACTTTGTCACCATATATGATGATTTAATTAAGATTTAATGATCAACTGGAGAGGAAAATTTAGGAATTAAAGAAATGTAAGGCACATGCATATCTGAGATCAAACATGTCTATGTCTATTGGTATGAAATTCATTTCAAATCAAAACTGCACCTATAGACATCAATTCAACTCATGATTGAAACTGTTTTTCTTGCCAAAAGTCCATCTGAACCACAGTTTGGTAATCATGTAGTTATAATAATTAGTGTCATATATAGTTGAAGCTTAAAATCGAGTACACATTTCAGATAGCAGAACTGTGGCAACAGTAGCTTCTTGGTTACAATACGTTCAAATCTCAAAAGATGGGGTGGTGCTGTTTGCAGCATAGCTGCTGGATAAGATCAAGCATGGGATGTGCAAGTTCATTGTAAATACATTAGTTTCAAAAGTGCAACATTAATGTAAAAGCTATGAAATTGCCTCAAAAGGATTTTTACTGCAAAGTGATTCTATTTTTTGCTGCTACCTTATGACTTGAGTGATCTGAATTTAGTGCCATGCAAATAACATTGCTATGGCAACAGATCTGACTGTTCAAACACATTAGCGACAACACTATGGGACTTTGTCAAACTCATAAGCCTGAGATGGCACAGCCCTTTTAACTGGATAAATCAATATGCAAACTAAACAATTGATCTAATGAATCAGGACTAGAACATTTATCCCCCAAAAAGCTAAACAACATGCATTTTAGTGGAAAGGAATTTCAGCAAATTTAGAAAAAAACCTACCTCATATTTCAGTTTTCGCTGGATCTGGCCGTTGTGAAGACTTCCATTTTCCTGAAAAGGGTCAAAAATGTACAGTTGGCTAAGTTTCATTTCTCTCTGCCACCCTCCATTCCAAAACAGTAATTGGTTTTAGAAAGCCTGTTTCACTGTTATCATCAAAGGAGATGAGCAGATCTGTCGACAAGTTCCATCACTGCAGTTCAATAGGTATCTTATCTGTCTAATGATCTGCTGTCTCATTTTAGAATCTAGCCTTGGGGTGCTACTCATGCAGCTTGTTATGAGGACACAGAGTTCATTTAGTGAAAAAATAGCTCTTCAGGCCAGACAAGTGTTCAGGCCCACACAGGTAATGCAAGACATTCTTTTGCAATGTGATTTCATCTTTTCATCAGTACTAAAATGTTCAATTCTGTTTGCAAATTATTGCAAACATAAGGCTGCGATGTCAACAGAAGCATTAACTTATCTAAATCAGACACCAACTTCACAGCAAAACAAAGCAATTTATAGAAAACAAAAGTGGCAAAGTAAATATTCCAAAACATTTGGTCTGTTTGATTTGCTTAATTTCCAGTTACACAAATGGGTAAAAGTTTGATGCTGACATTTGAACACTATACTATGGAAAGCCCAAAACACAGCAGTGCCCAAAGAGGATTTACTTATTTGCCAGTGACGGATGTATAGGCCAACTTCACAAAAAAAAATACACTTTATTCACAAGTCTTGGATTTATTTCACATAAACGAGATTACACAAGTGCCAGTGCCCTCCCTATTTTCTCCCTTCACACTCCTCCCTCCTCCGCCCAAGCCAAGGTCATATTTTTGAATTTGAAACTTTACAGCTCCTAAATATAGATAAAAGCTGCCGGCTTATTTTTTTATATATGAAATCTCATTCTTTTCACTCTCCCCCGAAAAGAAAATTGTCTGCAAGGTCAATAAGTCAACCTTGATTTTCAGTTGCTGTGGTTCAGCATCTGTCTCCAGGGACACTGAAAACCTGCCTCCATCAACCTTTTGGAGAGGGAACACTCAGTGCTGCAGGCATCTTTCAGACTTGTGCCCAAGCTGGTAATTTGGTAAACTAATGGAATTTGGGCAGTTTATGACAAGTACCACACTTATGTCTTCCTGCAGGCTGTTAAAGCAGAAATTGCACACGGTGACCCCAAGATTCAATTTAAAACCAATTTCCATTTTTCAGGCTTTTTATCAAGTCAGAGACCTATAACCTTATGTTTAACTTTAACTCAATTGTGCATGATTTTTTGGTCAGCTGGGCATCTGACATTCACAGAAACCCCATTATCTTCTTAAGAGTATCCAAACAAAACAGAGTCCCATGCATCCCACCTAAACATGGAAATTTATTTTGCATACACTAGATTACACAAGTCTTAACACAAGTCTTTTCCCACCCCTCCCCGTATATTCTGTGAATATCTCCAACCTCCCCTTCTCTCCAAGGTCCTGGAATAAGTTGTTGCTTCTCAGTTTCGCTCCTTCCTTTCCCGCCACTCCCTTCACGAACCCCTCCGATCGGTTTCCGGGCCGCCCACAGCACAGAAGCAGCTTTGGTCAAAGTGACAAACCACATTTTATCCGTCTGCGACCAGGGCTCTCTCTGCCTCCTCGTCCTCCTTGACTTCTCTACTGCTTTCGACAACGTCGACACTCTATCCTCATCCACCGCCTCTCCTCTCACCTCAACCTCCACAGCGCTGTCCTTGATTGGTTCAGATCATACCTCTCACACCACCTGCACCTGATCTCCTCAAACAACTTCACCTCCAGCCCCCGGACTGTCTTGTATGGCGTTCCTCAGGGCTCTGTCCTTGGTCCCCTCCTCTTCAACATCTGTAGGCTCCCCCTCTTGGTGACATCATCCGCAGACATGGGGTCAACTTCCACATGTATGCGGATGACACCCAACTCTACTTCTCTGCCTCCACTCTTGACTTCAGGACTCCAGAATGTCTGTCAGACATCAAGTCCTGGATGAGAACTAACTTTCTTCAGTTGAACCTCAACAGGAACGAGGCTCTTCTGATTGGCTCCCGTCAGCGCCTCCTCACCTCAGGCGCTGACAGCATCACCATCCATAGATGCACACTCCACCTTACTAAGCCAGTCCGGAACCTTGGGATCTTGTTTGACCTCAACTATCCTTTCTACCACACATCTGCGCCATGACCTGCTCTGCCTTTCCCCAACTCCGCAACGTCGCCCAGCTCCAACACTGTCTCACACCGCAGGCTGCTGAAACCCTCATACACGCCTTCATTACATTGAGGCTCGACTATGCAAATTCACTGCTTGTTGGTCTCCCCAACTCCTCCCTCCACAGGCTGCAAATCATCCAGAATTCTGCAGCATGTGACCTCTCCCGCATCAGGCTCCACGACCCTATCATCTCCATCCTCGCCCGACTCCACTGGCTTCCCATTACACAGAGGATACAGTTCAAGATCCTAGTTCTCACCTTCAAAGCCCTCCACGGTCTTGCTCTCCCCTACCTCTCCGACCTCCTAACCCCCTACCACCCTGTTTGCTCCCTCTGGCCTGCTTCATGTCCCCCGTCTTGCTCGCCCCACTATTGGTGGGCGGGCCTTCCGTCACTCCTCACCCACACTCTGGAACTCCATCCTGCAGTCCCTCTGTCTCGCCCCCTCCCTCACCACCTTTAAGACCCTCCTCTTCGACCGTTTTCGACCTCCCTGCTTCCCCCCACTGCCCTCCCCCACCCTCGGCTCAGGTCCGCAACTCTGTCTGTCCAGCGCCTTGAAACGTCCCCTGACACGAAAGGAGCTATACAAATGTCATTTTGTTGTTGTTAAGTGCTTTGAGATGTCTCGAAGATGTGATAAGGCGATATATCAAATGTAAGGATTGTTATTATTAAATTCTGGCGTATTGGAATGGAATGCTCACTCTTGCCCTGGAGGGACGCATCTTGCTCACCTTATTCCAGAGAATATTAGGCACATGGAAGAGCCAAGGCTTGGGGACCCCAGAATATGCGTTGAGAAACTGCTAGAATTTAACTAGCTAAAACCCATTGCCATTGAAAGCACTGTCTTGCAAGCTTCCCATTGCTTGTCCATCTAGGACACCTCTTCTTATTCGGGCTTTGGCTTACACAGTTAACAAGAGCTGAGTGGGAAGAATCCCTGCTCCTAGGGATTGGTCTGCCCCTCAAAGTCCTACTGATGAGCCAGACTGGCGGGACTGTCATTAGCAATGTCTTGGAATATTGCGGATCTGCCTGGCTGAGGAGCTGGAATACCGAGACTCTCAAAGAGCGTTAACTCAATTGCAACATTCCGCTGCCAAGTATGTGACCTTGGAGCCAGTTCAGCTCCAAGGAGACCCTGTTTTTCTCCCTCCCCACCACCGCCCCCCCAAGGAGGAAAGTCGACCTCTGCAACATCTTCCTGTTAAGGGCATTAAAAATATAACAATATTATCCCTAAGATTAAGATTTTCATGATGGCGTTCACTACTTTACTGTAGGCAGCTAAGAGGTATCTCATAACATAATACTATTGTACAGTATCTCATAATATAATAAGCGATTGTGCAGTACTCTCAATGCTGGTTAAATTCTTCAATAATGGTAAAATAATGAAACACACATAAACTGAAGACTTAAATGTAAACAGAATGAGAGAAAGATTTTGCCATTTTAAATTCTAAATTGCTTTTCACTCTTGGGATAAATTCAATAAATCCTATAAGCCATAATTCCCCACTCTGTATCCTTCCTATACTGAAGTGCACCATCAATTCCACTAAAGATAATTAGCCGACACGAGTTGTCTAATCACTCAATGAAGTTGATTAACACATCAACTATTGGAAGCTCAAATCTTCACAAAGTTTAAAAGTTCAACCTAGATATATACAGGATATTTGTCAATTCCTGAGCTGAAATCTACAACTTCCCCATCTAGGAAAATAGGTTTCTTGCCACGTGAGCCAAATAACAGTACAAACTATCTACATCCTATAACATAAGTGTTTAATTGTGTGGCAATCATCAGTCCTTCGTTCCTAGAGGATTTGGTCCCTTGGTTTTTGGCACATAAGGTCAAAAGACTGGATATCAAGTCCTCATGTTCCACCTCCATTGATTTTGATTTGAGAAGGCACTTCCATGATATAAATATGCTGTCATGCCACTCTGAATGAATGCTTTTAGAATCTGCACTTCTTAAAAAAAGATCGAAGTTTGCTTCAACCAATGCAGCTAGTTTAGCAGTTAAATCCACTTATTTTGAAGTATGTCTGAGAGTTGAGGCAGTGAGCGATAATATAGTACAGACCTGCGATATGTCCATTGAAGAGGATAAGTCAAATGCATCATTTGTACTATGCGTTTCATATTTTGTCTGTATTTTCTCCTTTTCTGCTAGTCGTCGCTGAACTTCCTCTTCGATATATGCATTTAGCCTGTAAAATAAAAACAATACACATAGATATATCCGAAATTTTAAATTGAATTCGATATGGTATGATATTAAAATATAGATTTGAAAACTCCACAATGTAAATATGTCTCAGTATTAATACTAATCCTAAATGACTACTATATAACGAAAAATTGCGATGTTTGAAAACAATTGTCAATGCAATGTAACTCTAATTCAATTTGGAGGTACGTGTCCACTTTTCAATCGTTAGTTTCAGAATTCATCAGAGAAAAATCTGTGTAGTGCTTTGAGATCCCCTGCTGATTTAAAAGGTGCTATATCAAACACAAGGATTATTATTAATATCAATTCAAAACCAAAAGGATATTTCAGTGATCAAATGACAAAGTGGTTCAATCGAAGGGTAAAGCTGGCTACCTTGACTACAGATTTGAATGCAGATTTGTACAGATTAGTGATGATAACCAGAGTACCAATCAGAGAACCAGTGGTTTGCGCATTTTCAGATGGGAAAACATGACTGCCAGTTACTTATCTGAATGTTGAATTAGAATAGCATTGAACTGTTACAATTATAATTTATTTTAAAAATATATTGGGGAACAATTTAGATCGAACAAAATTTCCCTTTCAATCGTACTCCCTTTAAAATCCTATGCAACATATCAAAAATGTTCTTTGTACCCTATTTTTCCCATGTCAAAACGGCACTTGTATACACAAGTATTACTTTTACTTCTAACAAATTTACCACAGTAGATATACCCTAGGCATTCTGTAAATACAGTAGAGTATCAACAGACACTATACAGGTAGTTTTCATGACCTGAGGCAAAATTACTTTCAATTGGTAACTCTCTATAAATTCCCTATTGAGGCTGACAGACCATAAGGATAAATCCACAACACAAATATTGTAATGTAGCTTAAAGGAGGATTTTTTGTGTGAAGTATTTCAGATTTTAGCAAAACACACCATAGGCAACATGCAATGCTTTTACCTCTGTAAAACTGCAACAGCAGCAGATAAGACACCCGCTTGGTTGCTGGTAGGTAACTAATGGTAGTGTGCAGAATGTGCAATATGAGAATTGTGTAGGGGCTATAGATTTACATTAATCAAACCCAAATAAATATGGCAACAGATTATGATTTCAAATGCAGCCTAAATCAACCCTTTATGGGTAAAGCAATATAAATCTTTCTCCCAAAGGTTTTGATGCTGCCTTTGACTGCAGATATTGAACACATATTTGCACATTTATAAATCATATTATGCTGAATACCGCTTGATGTAAACTGGAAGAGATGTGAATACTAATCTCGACCCTCCTTCCAAGTAATGATTTCTAAAGACCCCCGCAGCACTGTTAGAAAAAGGCTGTGGAAAACATTCTGAAGTAAGCTACATGAGAATGGTAGTGGCTTAGATTTCGAGTTTAAAAAACCAGGGAAACCAACAGAGTGTATGCTCCAAAGGCGATCACAGTAACTGTTGCCCTGTAACTGGCAACAAAGAGAACATAAAAAACATTCCTACTTTTCCACTGAGGGAGGCAACAGCCTCCACTTCATATCTCTCTATTTGGCATTGCTCAGATCAGCAACTGAGTAGACTAAATTTAATTTGAACCCATGTCTGTTCTTGCTCCATGACACCAAGTGTAACTCGGCACCATTCTTCAATTCTTGTCTCACCGAGAGGAACTGAATGCTTGCATATTGCTTTATCTTTAAAGAGGCTTCCAATATCACTGCATGTCTAATTCAGAAATCCAAAGTTTAATTTTGATATGATAGTGGCAGCTGTAATAACTAACAGATTATGTTTGAGAGAAACACATATGGACCAAAAAGTGGGAACAGAACTGGGCTCGGCTATGATGCTCCTATGGATTCTGTGAAGTGCTTTGAGACGTCTAGAAGACGTGTAAAGCGCTATATCAAATGCACGCATTATTATTATTATATGAAAAATGGCAACTCCAGCAAGGTACACCAACAACAACTTGCACGATATAGCACTCTTCACGCGGGGTAGAGTCTCAGAGTGCTTAAAAGGTACTTAAATTTCTAATGGTTGAAAAGGCCTGACTTTTCTAATAAATTTTCTGAATCTTGAAAATATCTCGCTAAAAGCCAAAGGATGACAAGCAGCGCTTTAAGTTCCCATGTGTAAATCCATGGCTTCTTTCAATCTCAAGTCAACCAGCACAACTGCAGCTTCCTGCTCACCCTCAGTCAATTGCTTTTACAATGCTGTCAGTGCTACACTGGCTGCTGCAGTATAAAGACAGCATTAGTTACAGTGTGTGAGCAGAATGAGGGCATTATCAGAACGACGATGGTTCCGGTAGCTTTAACTGAGACAAATTTTGTACTGCAAGTGACGAGCATGAGATGACAATCCTGTACCTTAACGACCAACATTCACAGAAATATAACTGAAATCAGTGCTTTCATCAGTGGTTGGCAACTTGTTGATCATACCCTGGAAAGACATGAGATGGGCAATAACAACAAATTACATTTGTATAAGCCTTTCATGTTGGGAGGATGTCCCAAGGCGCTCGGTAGTCAGGGATTTGGACCCGAGCAGGGGTTTGGAATCGGGGGGTAAAGGGCAGGGAGCGTAGCCGAATGCACAGTCAAAGAGGAGGGTCTTGAAATGTGCCTTGAAGGAGGCAAGGGGGGAGCAAGGCGAATGGACTGTGGCATGGAGTTCCAAATGGTGGGGGCAGAGAAGCTGAAGCCTCGACCACTGATGGTGGGTCGGGCATGGCAGGGGACTTGGATCGGACCGGAGCCTGCTGAGCGGACACGTTAATATGGGGTTAGCAGGTCACTGAGGTAGGAAGAAGGACCTTGAAGTGGAAGATTTTGATCTCTATCCTCTGGGAGATGAGGAGCAATGGAGCCGGGCGACGGTGGTAGGGCCATGAAGCCTGGTGCGAGAGAGGACATGAGTTGCAGAGTTCTGCATGATCTGCAGCTTGTGGAGAGTTTGGAAGGCACACTAGCAAGGAGTTGACTCAGTTGAGCCCAGATGTAATAAATACGTGGATGAGAGTTTCAACGGCCTGAGGGGTGAATCAGTGGCGGAGCCAGGCAATGTTGCGGAGGTGGGGGAAGCCAAAGAGGGTCATGGCATGGATATGAGATAGAAAGGAAAGTTGAGGGTCAAACAAGACCCAAGGTTCTGGACTAGCTCAGTAAGGTGGAATGGACATTCATACCATGTTTGCTCTGACATATTATGATCTCAGCAACTGTATTAGGATTCTGAGTTGTCCCAGTGTTACCTCAGACCTTGATATATCATGGGACTCCTCTCCTAAATTTCTGCATCCCACAGCCAGTTTGTAGCCTAATGTATTGTTTTACCCTGCAGCTCACAAAACAGATGCTAAATTTACATTTAAATGCAGGCTATACATGGCATCCTTACTTACTTTGACAAATATTTCTTATGTCTGGAATATTTGTCTCTGATCCTTTTGCGATCATGTTTTATGGCACTTCTGCGCTAAGATCCATAATAATGGATTTTTCACAATAATGTAAATTTTCATAACATCGATGCACTCTTTCTTTGATTTATTCCATTTTTCTAATATTCTTTCTCTGGGTATCTGTTCCTGTTTCATCTCACAAAGGTTAAGAAAGAGGATTGTAAATTATAAAATAAGCAAATAACCAAACTGTTAACAGTGAAACATCTTTGGAAGTATTGGAATATTATGGATTTTATTTCGGATCAGTAGTTATAGATACACATATTGTATATTTTAATAAAATGACTATCATATAAGTGCCAATCCAAATCCACGTTGATTTCAGCTTCAAGCCTTCCTCTTCATCTCATTGATATGCAGTATGCCCGCTCACAAGTCTAATCACCTGGAGATTTCTATAAGGTGTGCTAGCTATAATCTAGTGTGAATGCCCCGCTTACATTATGACAGGTTGTGCAGTGGTCAGTGACATTGCTGATTGTTTTGCCACCATGTAATTTGTTCCATTGAATTCCAGCACAACTGTTGAATGTAGGAAACCAAGCACCACATGAGAATACTAAACCACAGGTATACCATCTGCTCACTGACCTCTTGACTATTGGTGATATTTTCAGCATCAGAATTGAGCTCATGGAATACTTTGCTAACATTATTTGGTTGACTTTGCACTGGCCCAGGTGATTTCAGTGCCAATTCCAATTTTTCATAACCTCAGAAAGTTGGCCACTTGCATATGCTAAAACATGCAATAAACACAAAGATCACACAAACAGCAACACTCAATCTGATCACTGGAAGAATACAGGTCTACAATTATCTACTACTGAAGCAAACCAACATACCGCTAGAAACCTGTTCAGTGCTTAAGGTATGAAGTGTTTTGAGATGTCCTCCAGGGTGAAAGACACTATATAAATGTAAAATGTAACTAAAATTGGTCATTCACTTCTTGGTTATTTGTAGGACATTGCTGTGCACAAATTGACTTCACCTACAAATTACAGTGTCACTACATTTTATAGTGTATCATGTGAAGTGCTTTATAACGTCCTACTGACATGAAAGATGGTATAGCAAATGCAAGGATTATTATATCGTTGTTTTAAAATTGTTAATTTGAATACACAAAAAGTGATAGCTATGGCATCACAAATCATTTCTTAAGATTTTCCAGTTCAATAAATAAATAAATAATCGTCCTTGCATCCTAGCACTTTTCGCATCAGGAGGATGTCTCACAGCACTTCACAAGATCTTATTGTGAAGTCTTGTGATTATATATTTTGTAGGAGAAAGACTACGCCCACAAATCATACAGTCACTACACTTTACAATACATCCTGTGAAAAGGTGTGTGACGTTCTCTTGACGTGAAAGGTGCTATACTAAATGTAAGGATTATTACACAGTGGCAAACACAGAAATTAACCACTCTAAAGAAAGGACTAGGAAACAAAGTACTTCACGACCTAGCTAGTTCAATTTTAAAGAACTAATTGAAGATTATTGGATCAAAATTGTGACATGTGATAATTATTACATCAACCAAAAATCCAACTGTTAAAGCAGTTAATAGTTATTGCCGACCTCAGGGATGAACCTCTCTCCCCTGCCCCCGAGAGATCAATGTTAACTATTGACTGCTTTTGACTGCATTTTGGTCGATGTGATAATTATTGTAGGTAACATCACCCATGATAATGTCACATACCACAAATTTGACCCCAATTTATTTTGATCTTTCAGGGGAGGTAATCAATTCAGTCAGACATTTGGGATCTTTGTTCACATGCTGATGTATTGTAGTTTATGGGGACAGTGCACATGTTACGATTACATTTGGATGCAATAAGACTGCGGGAACAAGAGGACACACAACAATTTTAGGACAGACACCAAGACGTATTACTTTACCAATAGGGCAATTAATAACTGAAACAGATAACATGCAAGAGTGGTTGAGGCCAAGACACTGAACCCATTTTAAAAAATAGCTTGATGCTGTGATGAGAGGACAGTCGGGTTGGTTTTCTGTAAGAATAAGATCAAATGGGACAAAGGGCTTTCTTAAATAAATAAATAATCCTTACATTTGATACAGTGCCTTTACATGCCAGAAGGAGATCACAAAGTGCTTCACAGGATTTACTGTAAAGTGGAGTAATTGTGTATTTTGTGGGGCAACGCTTGCTGGAATTTTATCCAGCTTGCTCTTGTGAAAGCAGTTCTATTCCTTCCAATAGCAGTTTACATCAGGCTTGAACTGTTCTGCATTTATGCCAAGACTACTTAGTGCCAGCCAAACTCACATCAGTACCTACCGTCTACAAATAGGGAATGAAATCTTTCATTTTAAAAGAAAATGCTGTATAGGAAATCCTTTGGGCTGAAAGGGCTATGTAGTTTGATACACTCTGTGATCTTACTGTCCTGATTGTTTCCTATTGTTACAGCTCCAACGACATGAGTCAATCTACCTTGATGAAACGACTACTAATTGTCATACTTCTTCCTTCCAACAGCAAAACATAAGTTATCCACTGACACAGCTTTGAATTTGTATCATTTGTTCTAACACAACACAATCTTCAAATGCTTTAAGGTTTATTCTATTTTATGAACAAAATGTAGGTCCAAAATAGGGAATCCATAGAAAGCAGTAATTTGTAATGAAGAAATTCCTTACAGCTGCTATGTATTCAGTGCAATCACCAACATTGGCTTAAATTGAAAAGATTACAATGCTAATTTACATTATGCCCCTGTTCATGCAGCAAATGTTTTGGAGTCACAAATGCCTTGTAGCTCAATATCACAAACAGAAAAGAGTGATAGCAAATATGTTTTCTGTCCAACACTATCATTTTGTACCTCACGTATATTTTGGTAGGCAGCAATTAAAAATTCCTGAGCTAAAAATGTTGTCAGATATTTGATTTATGTTTCAATTTATTTGTAAATCAAGTGCTGTAACCTGATAATATCACAAATAGCTGCAGCTAATAAGTTGATACGTCTGACACCATTACCAAACTCATAATGTTCTTATTGTGGTAAAAGTGTAAGTTGAAGGAGAGACTTTCTCTTTTAAAGTTTTTTTTATGTCTTTCACAAATGGCTCTCTGTACTGTGGCCAAGCTGACAATCAGACAACTAAGTTAGCATCTTCCTACAACAGCTTGACAGATCTGGCTATCAGCATGTGGAGCATTATTCTTACAAACCTGTGTCCCAAGGCAGGCACTGTTACAAATGTTGGGGCTTCTGAACATAACTGTGTCTACAAATGTGGTCAATGTAAAATGTTAGTATAAATTTTTTTTCTTTTAATCTAAAGTTATTAATTGGTAAATAGAGCTGATAGTCCCTAAAAGTATTTTAAAAGTTCTATGCGTTTCACAGCTAGTTGGATAATGAACACTTCATAACAATTGTATCAGATCTATGCCACATAATTTTATGTGCTAAGGCAATATTTCAGCTACCTAAATGCAAGATGACATATTTGTCTAAAACTATTCAGACAGTTTGACAATTAATCCTTTGAATATCGCTGGTTTCTGATTGATTTTGTGATGCATCAGAAAATGCAATTGAAGATGTTATTGGTGCTTCTCCAATAAATTACAAACTAAGTCAAATTCTCTTACCTAGTTTAACTATCCAAAAAACACATTGGATACTAAAAAGAGCTCTTTAGAGACGCACCGTTCATCAGCTATTGGGCCCATTATTGATGGTGATCTTTTAGGGCTAGCAGGGCTGCTAGTGTACGATGATTTCTCTTCAGCAGTTCCACACTCCCTCAGTGCCACATCATTTTCACAAATCTTCTGCTTCAGCTGTTGAATTTCTTGCTCTAGCCTACAGTAAACAAAACACATCTCATTAGGGCCAAAGAACGTCGTGCTTCATTGCTTACAACACAATGCAAACTTTGGTGTGATTTGGTTATCTTTTGTTCATATTAAATTGTCCTTGAAAAAAATCAAAAACACGAAGTACATTGGACAATCATGAGCATATTTACGAGGGATGAACAGCTTCATGTAAATCCAGGTTGCTCAATCTAGAAATCAAAAAAATTGTGAACAGGTGGGGAAATTAGTTTATGTACTCTTCTTCTAATTCTGGGTCCAGCAATTGGTTTCAGCTCAGACTGGTGGCTTCAAAGCCTCTCACTGTTGACCGTCAAAGTCCTATGTTACATGTATTTGGCAAATTTCAACTCAGAGTACAATTTCAGTCAGAGAAGCCATAAGGAGAGTTGATATGGAGCATCGAAAAAATCAAAAAAAAATCAAACTGGTGCAGGAAGTGGTGCAATGGCACGGGGTGGAGAGGGCGGGCGGTTTTAAAGTAAACTGTGACCACAGAATGGAGGGAAGCTTCCTTTTCAAAAGGAAGATTACAGACGTGAATAGCATTTGTCAAAGGACATTATGAAAGCATTTCTACAATTATAATCAAAGAAGATGAAATGGGACTGTTCAAACGTGTTTTGCTGTAACAACACATTACACTTGTTTGGCACCATTCAAGTTGGAAGAAATGAAAGTAAGAGAGGTGGGGAAAAAAAGCTGTCTCTACAATTTTTGTATAAATTATTGAAATACAGAATTTTCTTCAGTCTATTCTGGATGATGTGTTCATGGCATTGTTGTGTCACTCGCATTCTTAATTGAATAGTTTACTGTCATGCGTATCTGACATCTTGCCAAAAAGTACTACGTATCGAGAAAGCTCAGCACCATTATGAAAAATATGAGACAACACGGCAAACTCTTAGGAATATCTATTTCAGATTTTCAAACAAAATGGATCCTTTTATTTGATTATAACACTCAATCCATAACTGTTTGTGGGCCACTACTGTATGCAATTAGCTGCCGCGTTTTACCCACAAAATATACAATCAATTCACTTTACAGTATATTCTGTGAAGTGCTTTGAGATGTCTCTAAGACGTGATAAGGTGCTATATCAAATGCAATGATTATTTATTTATTATTTGTTTATTTTGACGGCAATCTCCCATTTTCACAAGCAACTGTTCCAGGCAATTGCTTGTAACATACATGCTGATCTACAACAAAATACAATTACAACAACAGAGTTACATTTGTGTAGCGCCTTTCACGTCGGTAGGGTGGATCTATTGATGGATTGATCTCTCTCCATGAAGATAAAAATTGGTTCACTTTAATACTTTTAAAATGGCTTGAAACAGTAAACTAAAAGAACTGTTTTAAGACAAGGATTAGTTTTTGAGTCCTTTATTGTCACCCTTACGCAAATTGACTATAGAGTTATATTACCTCCATTGCCCTCCCGAGCAAAACACCAGGTCACTTCTTTAGCTCATTTATGGTATCTACTTCAACGGCTCCAGAAATCCATTAAAAATAAAAGAAGGTTACCTTTCTCGGTCTTGCTCTAGAGCTTTCTGTTCTGTCTCTAGGCTGTCCCGAAGATCTGCTTCTTCACAGATGTTTAAAGTTGCCAGTTTTCGTTTCTGTTCTTCAATCTCTAGGTCAACGACGGAGTGACGCTGAAGAGCAGAATGCCGCTTTTCTATCTTGGCAACAGCTTGCTCCAACGCCTCTCTCTGTTGTTTTTCTCGTGATTCAATAATCTCTTTCTCGATCATTCTAACTTTTTCTTCTTGCCGAGCTACATTAGCAGTAAATTCGTAAGTCTGTTGGAGCTGCTGAAGTTGATCAGAGCTGGCTCTGTATTGCGCTAATTGCTCCCCCTTTTCTTCAATTTCTTTTTCGGTTTGATAAAGTGCAACATCCAAAGCAGGTAGGCCTCGGACAAGGACATCTGCAGTTCTTTGTTTTTCTTCTGACACGCTGGGTAAATGATTCTTGGTCAAGAAGAGCAGTTGCCGTTCTTTGTTCTGCAACCTTTGCTCAACCAGTTTCACTCTCTCTGCTGCTTCATGCAGCTCCATGGAATCTAAAGCTCTGTTTTCAGCATCCTCCTTCATAGTATTCATGGGTTCCTCCTGTGTATGTCTTAGCTGGTCCAGAACTTCATGCTCGATAAATATTTCCCTTTCAAGAAAATCTTTTTGATGGATTGCTTTTTCTTCTGTTGCTTCCAACTCTTCCAACTGTCTTCTTTTCAGATCCATATATTTCTGTTTTGCTCTCTGGACATCTTCATGGTCTTCATCTCCGTCAGGTCTAGCTTCCTTGGCTTTGAGAAGAACTTCTCTTATTTCCTCAAGGACATTTTTCTCATCTTCTATCATGTGCACATCATCTTGTTTGAGCAGTTGGATCATTTCTACCTTTTCTCGAAGCTGCTCCCCCAGTCGTGCCACAAGATTCTGTTGATCCTTTGCTTGTTCCTCAAGCCTCCTCTTTTCCAGCTCCAGCTTCATGCTGTGTTCATCTTTTTCTTTTTTGAGCTTCTCCAGTTCTCGGAGGATCTCTAGTTTCCTTGCCTTCTCCTGCTCGTGAAGTTCCTGAAGCTTTTGCAATTCTTTTTGAACCCGGCTATGAATTTCTTCCTCTTGCTTTTTTTTCTGTAGTTCAATTTCCTGTTGTTCTCTTTGCCGCTCTTCCTCGAATTTTTCCTTCTCTGCTCTCAGGTCATTTAGCCTACCTTCAATATCCAGGTTTCTTCGCTTCAGACTTTCTTCTTGTTTCCTGATACGAAGTTTCACAATTTCAGTCTCTTTGCGTTGGGACTCAACCTCCTGCTGCATCCGTTCCAGTTCCATCTTTTCTGATTGCTGTTTCTCCTCCATTTCTGCTATTAATCTCCTAAAACAGATTGAAAGCACATTTCAAGAACTGAAATGTTATGAAATACTAATCGGCATGCTTCAAGCCACTCATGAATCAATTTTTACATTTAAAATGTTCACATTCCTGAACCTTGAGTGAAAGGAGCTATAAAGATACAGTTAATTTAGGTTGGTATTAATAAACAACAATAACAACAACAAAATTACATTTATAGAGCGCTTTTCATGTCGGGAGGACGTCCCAAAGTGCTGAACAGTCAGGTGTCGGGGCCCGAGCATGGGGGAGGGTGGGGTGGTGTAGGGTTGAGGGAAGGCAGAGAGGTGGGAGGGAGACCAAAGGCACGGTCGAAGAGAAAGGTCTTGAGACCGACCTTGAAGGAGGCAAGGGAGGAAGTGAGGTGAAGGGACCGTGGGATGGAGTTCCAGAGCTTGGGGGCAGAGAGGTTAAAAGCCCGGCCACCGATGGTAGGGCGGGTCGGGCGGGAGACGTGGAGCAGGCTGGAGCCGGATGAACGGAAGGAGCGGGCAGGTTGGTAGGGAGTCAGCAGGTCAGAGAGGTAGGAGGGGGCATGGCCATGGATGGCCTTAAAGGTGAGGACGAGGATCTTGAACTCGATCCTCTGGGGGATGGGGAGCCAGTGGAGTCGGGCGAGGGTCAGAGTGATGGGGTCAGCGAGGCTCGTGCGTGAGATTACACGAGCTGCAGAGTTTTGGATGATCTGCAGCTTGGTGTTCTACTTCAATTCCTACATTTAACATAAATCAATTTACTTTTTAATCTACTGTGAAGCAGCAATAAAGCATACACCTGTAATCCCAGGGTGAAGATTCTACTAGTTGGCAAAGGCCATTTTAAAATTCACAAAGCAGATGTTAGACAAGCAAATACCAACAATTCTTGTATAAATGACAGAAGGTTACATGAAAGTGCTTCACAGGACTTACTGTAAAGTGCAGTAATTGTATTTTGTAGGTGGCAGCTAATTTGAGCACAGCAATGTTTGAAAACAGCCATGAAGTGAATGATCAATTTTATTTGGTCTATTTCTGAGTCTCTACAACTTTCTATCTGCCTTTCCCTATCTTTACCATATCTCTAACCTTAAATTGTATAATGTAAAAACATCAAGACACGCCTTCACTATCAGAAATAAAACACTGCTAATTATGCAAGATTGATAGTATCAGGTAGATGACATCAGTTCACGCTTAGAAACCTTGCATGCAACTTTGCAAATCCTCACAATAGTATTTTGCTGGTATCGTACAAGGCGCATTTAGAACATCCGCATTGGAGGCCAAAACAATACAAATATGGGTAAACTGACATTCATATGAATACTATTTTAATGTATTAATATCAGCTTTGCATCAGCAAAAGTTAGGATACTGGTAAAGATTTGTTTACATTCTTCCATTATCATTTCTTCACACTATTTATTTTTGAGAAGGGGAGAGAAAAGAGATGGGTGGAAATAAGGGTCAAGAAAACATTTTCATTCATAACTAAATGTGAGATTCAAATGAGATTTATGATATAACTAAATAACAAGCTTCTACTTTGCATACTAATTTTTCAAGTTCAATATCTAACAAACATGACAGATTATATACACTTTTACTCACCATACTATCATCTATAATCCTTTCTGATTGATTGTAAAGTCATTTTACATTTATGTTTTTTGTGAAAAAGTGACAACTCGATTTATTTTCAACGCTTGTGATATTTTTTAAATGCCTAGTTTATACTGCCAGAGAAATGGAACAGTGGTTTCAGCAGTAAAGTGAATGGGAGCAGTAGGGGTGATTGGTATTTCCTTTAAATTGTTCTTGCTGGGGCTGAAATGCATGATTGAACACAAGCATTTGTGTATCCTTCATTTCATTGAAAGCTAAGCTTTCAATAAAATGAAGGATACATTGTGAATTTCTCTAGAAGAATATTACCATATTACTGATAGTCCCAAAACTTTTTAGGGCCAGAAATTAGTCTGGGTGAGAAGACTTAAGATTTAGTCTCTGTGGGCACTCCAGTGCAGTATTGGGTTAGTGCTGCATTATTCGAGGTATTATCTTTCAGGCGGTATGTTAAATCAGCGATGACCAACTTTTATGGTCAACCAACAAAATAAATGTTCTTGATTGAATGTTTTGATTTATGGCATAAATCAAGAAACACTCAATCAAGAAAAACCTGAAAACACACTACTGAGTGATCACGGACTTACCTAGATTTCTGCGAATATTTGGGGAGAAGCTTCTTGACAGCCCCACGAGCCATCCGTGTGTTAAACCAAGGTTTTATCTGGTTGCGCAACAACAACAACTTGTATTGCAGGGTAGTGTCCAAGAGCACTATTAACATCCACCAGACCCCAAGTGGATGTTAAAGATTTGATGACACGATTCAAAAAAGAGAAAGAAATTTATCTTTGTATTCTGGCAAACATTTTTCCAAATTAATTGGTCATTTACCTCATGGCGGTTTGTGGAACACTGCTATGAGCAAAATGGCTGCCACGTTTCTTTACAAAAACAGGCAATGTACACAATAGCAATTCTGTGAAGCACTCTGTGAGACCTAGAATGATAAGACATTATTAAAAAAAAGCAAGTTGTTCTCATTATTTAGCGAGTGGCTAAAAACCCACCACGTGAAGCAGGCCGGAGCCAGCTGGGAAGCCAGTGGAGTTGGATAAGGATGGGGATGATAGAGTGACAGAGCCTGGTGCGGGAGATGGTGGATGCTGTCAGCGCCTGAGGTGTGAAGGCACTGACGGGAGCCAATCAGGAGAGCCTCAGTCTTTTGATGTTCAACTGAAGAAAGTTAGCTCTCATCCAGGACTTGATGTCTGACAGACATTCTGTCAGGACAGCAATGGTCCTGAAGTTAAGGGTGGAGGCAGAGAGATAAGAGTTGGGTGTCATCTGCATACATGTGGAAGTTGACCCCATGTCTGCGGATGATGTCACCAAGTGGGAACATATAGATACTGAAGAGTAGGCGACCAAGGACAGAACTCTGAGGAACCCCGCATGAGACAGTCTGGGGGCTAGAGGAGAAGCCGTTTGTGGAGATGAAGTGGAGACAGTATGAGAGGTAGGATCTGAACCATTCAAGGACAAACCATGAAGGTTGAGGTGAGATAAGAGGCGGTGGAGGAGGATAGAGTGGTCACTGTATCGAAGGCAGCAAAGAGGTCAAGGAGGATGAGGAGGCAGAGAGAGCCCTGGTCGCAGACGGATAAAATGTGGTTTGTCACTTTGACCAAAGCTGCTTCTGTGCTGTGGGCGGCCCGGAAACCGATCGGAGGGGTTCGTGAAGGGAATGGCGGGAGAGGAAGGAGCGAAACTGGGAAGCAACGACTCTTCGGGGACCTTGGAAAGAAAGGGAAGTTGGAGATGGGGTGGTAGTTTGAGAGCAGGGATGGTCCAGGGAAGGTTTTTTAAGGATAGGAGTGATGACGGCTGTTTTTAAAGGGGTGGGAACGGTGCCAGCGGACAGGGAAAAGTTTATGATATCTATGAGTAGAATATTCAGTATAAACAGTGCAGTATAATTATATTTAGTGTCAGGCTAACTAAATTGGTAGCACTCTCGTCTCCGAATCAGAAGGTTGTGGGTTTAAGCCCCTTCTTGGGACTTTGAGCTCATGTCCAGGCTGTCACTCCAAAGCAGTGCTGTCGGGAGCCCTGCATTGTCAGAGGTGCTGTCCTTCAGATGAGATCTTTATATCTTCCGCACGTATTGCCTCTCCCAGGCCAAAACCAGAATGTGGAATTCTGTAGCTTAGTGGTTAGAGCACTCGCCTCACAAATGAGAGGTCTTGGGTTCGATTCCCGGACAGGGCGAAATGTTGGGCAAGTTACTTGTCACCTCCCGATTTTTCAAATGCCCTCTTTACCAATTTCCCCAGCTCCACCATGCAAAAAATTAGAATCAGGCTCCGCCACTGTCAAGCACCCTACGTGAGGGGCGCTACATAAATGCTAGTTGCTGTTGATAAATGAAGGTCCCATCTGTCTGTGTAGATGGATATTAAAGTTTCTCCCAGAGTCCTGCCAACAGGCCCCCAGATAAATTGGTCATTCACTTCATGACTCATTGTAGTAGTCACTAATACACTTTACAGAATTCTCTGCGAAGTGCTTTGAGACACTGACTTAATAAGGTGCTATACCAAACGCAAAGATAATTAATAAAAATTTTAAAAAAGTGAAAAAATATTTTGTTAAACGTAATTTGGATTTTAAAAATCACGATCCAAGTGGGAAGAATCCCAACCCCAGTGACCATCTGCCCCCCCCCCCCCCGAGTCCAGCTGATGAGTCAGGCTGGATGGTCATTAACAGTGACTCGGCTCAAGAACTGGACTATCAATTCTGTCATAGAGAATTGACTTGATTCCAAAACTACATTGCCAAGCAAGTAATCTTGGGGGTAATGAAACAAAATTAACCTTCTCTTAAATAAGTGATTCCTGAAATAATAAACTACATGCACATACACAGCGGAACCCTGTTATGTAATGCGACGATTTGGACCTACAGCATTACCATCAGCACAATGAGAGAAAACTGGCTGAACAGTTAGTGCTTCCGCATTCACTGCATGTTTGTGAAGTAAGACGGTTTCTGGATCATCAGATTTCTGGCAATGTCACTTCCTGTGTATTAGCCATGGCCTGATGATCTGGGCCAATAGAATAGTGCAGAAATATTTGCTAAAAATTGCGGGCAGTTCGCAGATTCTACAGGAAAGTGCGGGGGCGATTTTGACAAATTTTGCAGAAAATGTAGGGGAGTTGATTGGTGCTATTGTGGTACATTTTACTTCCAAACTACATTTTTTCACTTTATTGATAAAAGCAAAACATAAGAAAATAACAAACGTTAGATTGTTAGAAAAAAAATATTAGTTGCTTCTTTAATAAAAACTGGGTGGCCTTTCCTTTTTTTTTGGGTGAGGGGGGGGAGGAGGGGGAACACCAGTGAGGATACAAGAGCTATTAGGGCCCACTACTGAACACAGACCCAGAGACACACACACACACACACACACACACACTCACAGACACAGAGAGAGACAAACACACTCAGAGACACAGAAAGACACACATACTCAAAGACACAGTGAGACCCACACCCAATATCAACCTGTTTACTCCCTCTGCTCAGCAGGCTCCAGCCTAATCTACGCCCCCACCGCTTGGCCTGTCCCACCATCGGCGGTCAGGCCTTCAGCCTCTCTGCCCCCACCCTTTGGAACTCCATCCCAGTCCCTTCGCCTTGCTCCCTTGCCTCCTTCAAGGCATGTCTCAAGACCCTCCTCTTCGACTGCGCCTTTGGCCACCCTCCTACCGCCACCTTCCTTGCCCTCCATCCCCCCATGATCCCAACCCCCAGCTTGGGTCCAAATCCCTAACTGTCCAACGCCTTGGGACATTCTCCCGATGTGAAAGACACTATACAAATGTAATTTGTTGCTGTTGTTGCTATTGTTGGTGAAGTATTTTTGGTGGGGAAGTAAATATTGTTGTACACTTTATAATAATAATCCTTACATTTCGAATAGCATTTTTCTCATCAGAAAGACATCTCAAAGCGCTTCACAGAATACACTGTAAAATAGAGTCACTGCATTTTTTTAATATAGTGCTTTATAACAGGATTCTAGTGCATATCATCCTGTTACCCTCACCTTTTATTTTCCAGCTTTTCTAGTTCTTCTCGCTGTTGCCTTTCAAATTCAAGTCTAGCAAAAAACACACAACAGATATTCAATAAGATGGCAATGCATTTATATAACAGTTAAAATTGTTCAGAATGACATGTCCCAGTGGTATATTAGTTATATTTAGAGGTCAATTTTGCACTTTACTACATCCAAAGGACCATTCTAAAATGCAGATCAGTAAACACTATCGCTGATGGCTCTCTGCACTACAAGGAGAAAATAAATTTAAAAATACAGTCTCAAGAAAGAGTTGAAAGTGATTGATTACAATTTTGGTGAATTTCTACTGTTTGTGACTGTCTAATAAGCATTTCTGGCTGACAATTTGGGAATTACACAGGTACAGTTGATTAAGTGTAGTAAAGTCCTTGCAATCATTTATAACGTCAGAATTCCTCAAAATAAGGTAAGTAGATCTAACTGAATCATTAATAACGTCCAGGCAATTACTAATGTTTTTTAATTTATTTTCTTTTAAAATAATTATACAAATGGCAGTTTATTAGGGCACAGAACAGGTATATATTTATGCAGAAAATATTACCACAATATTTTTCATATAAAGAATTATGATTGCTATTGATAGACACTGCACATACGATTCCTGTGATGTTGAGTATGCTACAATATAAAATATATTACCCATCATTTGATATTAAAAAGGAAACACATTTCCGAAGAGAGGCATGCCTGGTTCAGTTTTAGTAAAATACTTTCATGCATACATTACAATTAATATAAATGGGATTTCTCTACCTTAGGCAAATTGGTCCCTTTACAGTGAAAAGACTGCCATGATGAATGCAGCAAAAGTAAAGGAAATTGATTAAGGAGACATAAGATTTATCCGATTATATCCATGTAAAATAAAACTCCTGTAAAGTAATTGAGCATAAAACAAAATCCTTCTTTTTCAAAATAAAATGAACTATAATCAAATAATATTCTGTAACTGATATTAACCCTACATTTATGGAAAAAGCTGGTTAAAAGATCATCATATGAGTATTTAAGGCCTGAAGACTCAATATTGAGGGTTAATATGTAGAACCACCTTTTGATCTAAGATTACAGGATATTGTAGAAGGATATATGGAACTGATCACAGAACATTAATTTGATGATGTTATCAAAACAAAAAACAATAATTTGTGTTAATTTTGCAGACTAAAACTTCCAAAACTCCAATTTCAAAGAGATTATATATTATATATATTTATTTAGCAGTATTGGCTGTGTGGTTATGCATACATGCATGGCATGCAGCCACAGTTTCTAAATTTAAAAAGCAATCTAATTTTATTCCGATACAGAAGATCATTAATGGCAACTCATTGATAAATCAATAAGATGATATAACTGAACACAACACAGGGAAAACATTGTATTTATACATCTACACACATATACTTTGTTTGAAAATTAACGTTTAAGATTTTCTGAAAGAAAATGATTCCTGAACACAGCAGTAGTGAAAGGAACATCTTGACTCCTTTAGAAATTGAAACAAAGAATGTTACCATATAATTTTCATTTAAAGCCATAATTAAAGACTTCACGCCTAATGCACTATAAAGTCTGTCAAATTTCCGATTTCTACTAATTTCAAGATACCAAATTACAGTATATTTTGCAAAGCTGAAAGCATGTGAGGAATATGTTAAAACAAAATGAGTTAAGTTCAGCTAATGTCATGACAAATGCAAGGTTTATATTTCTTTTAAATCTTAAATTGCAGGCGTTAACAAGATAATTGTAGAGATAAAATTGGTAACAAAAGCAGCAGAATGGACATTCAACACGAGGGACTAAGTTCAATCTCAGGTCTCGATTGACTTTCGGGTTCAGTTTATCTCACTGGTTGGAGTTTGAATGTTCCTGAAAGGGTCAGCATAGAGAACTCTGTAGATGCGCAGTGATCTTTCTCAAAGAAAAATGGTATGATCCCTGGAGAAGCACACTTATAGTTGGTCTGACAGAAAAGCTCATAGCTATCACTGTCTTTTCTTTGGTCAACCGGGTGTCTGACACATGCAGAAACTCATCACCATGCTTAAGAGTATCCAAACCAAACTGAGAATTCCATGCATCCCAGAGATAGATTGTTGGAATGGAATGCATGCTCTCTCCCTGGAGGGAAATATCCTGCTTAACTAATTCTTATCATGTCTTCGAGATGTCTCAAAATGCTTCACACAATATACTATAAAGTAAATTAACTGTATATTTTGTGGGTGAAACTTGGCAGCCAATAGCACTCAGCAGTGTCCCACAAATAGTCGTGGATTGAGCGACCAAATTATTATTATTTATTTATTTATGTATTTATTTTTCAAGGGATTATTATGCCCAGAAAAGCAATCTGCCAATAGACTAACAACCGTATTCCTTTTTATTGCTAGATAAACAGAGGCGAGTGGAGCAAGGAAACTTGCCCAATGTTTCGCCCTGTCCGGAAATCGGAAATAATAGACAATTCCGGAATGTTAAATATGTTTGCAATTTGTTTCTTGTGTCGCTTCCCCAATGTTAAGTCTAATGAATAAGCAATAAAAGTATTCTGGTGAATGATTATATCATACAAGAGGAAGAAAGGAATAGAGGTTTATGGAAGAGGCGATTAGGAGTAGAGGCTCTAATTGAGCCGAAGGGCCTGTTTCCGTGCTATAATGTTTCATGCAATTCCTGAAGAAACGCATTTGGAAAAAAAAGTATAATTGTTCCATAGAAACATTGCTGGAATCTCAAATATAACATTTCTGTAAAGAGTGGACTGCAAACAAGCACTGAATAAAGTAGCAGAAGCTTATCTAAGAGTAAAATTTATGTGCAATTTATTCACTTTAAGCAATATATAGTGTCCTAGAATTACAATTTGAGACCTTCCCATCACAGCTACAGCTGCAAAGTACAGTATGTATAATTCACATATTAAGTCCTTCAAATGAGATTAGTATTCTGCAAATCAAAAATATTTAACAATTACTCTTTCAAATATATAATTCTCCCTTCGGGGCAGCTGTAAATTGAGTACCACAAAAGCAGTTAAGCTGCAATTCATTGCAGTTAAGGTGAAGCACACAAGTGCCATCTCCTGGTAAGATAAGTTTAAGTTATTTTACTACAATAAAACTTGCATCATATCAGTCAGGACCATAACATTTAATAAGACTTATGCAAAGTATGGTTACAGGCAAACTTGCATAAGTCAATTCATACATGACTTATGCAAAATTATGTACAAGTCGGATTTTTCATGCCTAACACATAACAAATACAATAAATTAGTATAAGGTCCTTGTCACTAACTTGCGTTTAGTTGTATCTGTATTGTCTTATGCCATGATGACGGGTTAAGACCTTATTTTACGCGTATGTTTCAAAGGAGTACACAGGACTGTACTGCGCATGAGAGACTTCATCACTACAGCTGGTAAGTGCGAATGCGGTAACTGGTCAAGACTTTGTTTCCTGTGCTTGTTTCAACAGAACACTGCGCTTACGTACTTCAATGCAGCCAGTAGGTGCGCATATGCTGACGGGTCAAGACCGAAGGTGGGATGGATTGGGAGGGTGACATGAAGCAGTGTTTGCTGACTGGAGGCAGCAGCTTGGGCAGTGGGGTCGCAGGAGGAAATCAGGCACAATGAGGAGGTAATAGCAGTAACAGTTGTCTATAGCTCAAGCTAAAGGTAAAGGGTATTTGGTATGGCCAAAAAACACCCTGGTAATATGCGCAATTAGGAAGTTTCTGAATTAATCTCAAAGAAAGCAGATACAATTGTGATCTGCTTTGATACCAACATGACTAGCAGGAAAGTTTCAATCTGTGCAGCAACAATCTTCTGATATGGCAATGCACATGTCAAGTGTGAAGCAGGACTTTAGTGAGTGAAAATGAACAATATGAAATGCAATGTTATTCACTAAATAACCTAGAAACTGGAGTGCTCATCATACAGCTATGTACAGTAGTATAATCAACGAACATATCTCAGTTGGTATGACTATCAGAGTGCTACACAAACTTCTAAACTTCTAATGCAGAATTTGTAAATCATATAATAGAGAAAATGTAAAAAAAGAAAGCAAAAGAGAAGCTCATACTGGATCTTTCTTTTTGAATGATTTTAATAAGAAATTGGGGTAGGTACTCACTGAAGGGAGTTGCATGTACCAGTCCCCCAGAATGGAAGGGAAACCAGCTGCAACAGTATTCATGTGCATGCATTGAGTATTCATGTGCATGTATTCATTCACAGAATTCAGTGTGTGGTCCCTGTATTGAGTGTTCTGTCCACCTGCAGTTTAGAATTCATAGCAACTTAAATGTTACACGGACCGTTTCTTTCAAAAATAATTCGCATTGTACTCAAGACTAAACCCTTACACATACAACAACAAATTCTGAGCCTCCTTGGTCAACAGTGGTAAGTCCTGATGACCCTCCCCTGGTGTGTTGGTATTTCCATAGTGCTTCTGAAAGACACCATTGGCGACTCTTCCAAACAAACAATTAGTATTTTGGGTTGATTGTTTGATCAGATAAATAGTCACAAAATGAAATTGACCACAGAAAATTAGTTGAAAACCTTTCGTCAACAAGACATTACTGCTAACTGGAACACTATAATAAAGTAGATTAAGCAAACTGTACTTGTATTAATGATCATTTACAGTTGCTTCTTTCACTTACCCTGGGTTGTAAAGCATAATTGCTGAAAGATTTTCACAGGATTTAGAAAGGTCAGTCATAGATAAACTAAAGGTAGACAGCAGCCCACTCTGTAAAAATGAATAATGAATAATTTATAAAAAAGTCACAAATAATTCAAAAACTAATAATAAGTCTAATTTTAAATTACACACTTGGATGTATAATTATTTTATTGATCACAATTCAAGTTTTGGTTCAAAAGAATTCACAATATTAAAACACATCTGTATTATTTTCAGGGTGCATTATTCAAAGTGAGAGAGTCCAGCCTATACCTCTCCCAATTAAGAGAGAATCTTTCCATGTGTCTAAGGGTGGGGAGGGCGGAGGAGGGAAGAGAAGAAGGATAACATACAACCTATTCCTAGGCTGCCACCAGACAGATGCCAAGAGGCATGTGACAGTGACCTGGTGAGATTTCTCTTTTAATTTCTCTTCTCCCTCCTTCTTCCATTCCATGTCCCATGGATGCTACCATCTGCTTTCTCCTCATGCACTGCTGGGATCAAGAACTCAGCAGAATGAGGGTTCGAGCTTTTGTTTCTCTGCTAAACATTGAAATTTTGGGTCGTTTCACTTGCTACGTCCTGAACTGTACTATTTTTAATTGTAAAACAATCACATGATTTTAATATGCTTACAAATCAAAACAAAGTGTTGCTAATTTTTTCAGGTCGGGAGGACGTCTCAAAGTGCTTCACTGGATTTACTGTGAAATATAATGACTGCATACTTGTAGGTGAACGTGAACGCTAATTTGCACAAAGCAATGTCCCCCAAACAACTATGAAGTAAATGACCAATTTTATTTGGGGAATTGTTGGGAGAAGCTCCCCTTCGTTTAGAGCTCTCTGAGACGCTATCCTGGAGGGCGCCATGTAAATGTAAGTAGTTGTTGTTGTTGAGGTACTGCCATAGGATATTTTACACCCACCTGATCAGGCTCAATTTAATCTCATCAGAAGGATGGGACTTTCAACAATGCAGCAACAACTTGCCTTTATATAGCACCCCTTACACAGTACAACCAGCATTGCATTAGAGTGTCAACCGGAACTTTGTGAATTCAATGTCCCAATGTTTGAACCCACAACCTTTCTGCTCAGAAGTGAGAGAGCTACCAATTGAGCCAGGCTGATACTTACTATGCCATTTGAAATGAGTCTAACAAATTCCCCATTCCCAGCAGATCGAGTTCAAGATCCTCGTTCTCACCTTCAAATCCACTGGTCTCATCCCACCTGCGACCTTCTTCAACCATACTGATCCCACCGCTCAACAGACACAGGCCTGCTTCATATCCCAAGCCCTATCCACCAATCAGCCATTTCTGTCCCAGCTCTCTGAAACTCTTCCAACAATCCCTCTTGACTTGCTCCCTCCCTTGTTCAGGGCGCCTCTCAAAATGTATTAAGTCATCTATCCCCTCCCCACCCCTTTGGCTCCCAACTGATCTCAGGTGTGCAGCAGGCAGTGTCAAACCTTTTGAGACGCCCTACCGATGTGATGTGAAAGGTAGTATGTAAATTGTATTACCTTCTCACGTCACAATTGACTTTACTTCAATAGTCACTTATGGTAACCTATTCCACATTGAAATTAATAATAATGATCCTTGCATTTGATATAGTGCCTTATCATGTCTTCTGGACATCTCAAATCACTTCACAGAATGTACTGTAAAGTGAATTTACTGTATATTTTGTGGGCAGAAGTATCCCACACGCAGTCGTGGATTGAGTGACCAAATTCTTATTTATTTTTTGATAGGATTATTATCCCTGGAAAAACGATCTGCCAATCGACTAACAAGCAGGTTCCTACTTACTGCTAGGCAAAAGAGGCATGTGGAGTAAGGAAATTTGCCCAACATTTCGCCCTGCCCAGGAATCAAACCCAGCTCCTCTCGCTTGAGAGGCAAGTAAGCTACAGGACTCCATGGAAATTATTAAACATTTCTGCCACCCTTCTCTTTCATGTTGCAGGAAATAATGAATTTATGCTTCCCTCCCATCGAACCCACCCTCCACTATCAATTCACTTTCCAGTGAAAACCTTTCACTATTACTCTCTCAAACACTTTCAAATAATTACACGGCGAGCAAAGGATGTGCCAAGCTACTCACAACAATGTGTTCGATTGCAATGCCAATCTGAACTCCACAGCAATGCCATGTAATTGCAAATCTCTTCTCAGAAGAGAAGCAGAGAGCACCGCTGTCGAGTGGATTTGCCCTACCTCTGACGTTTTGGGTCTGTATTTTTGAGTGGTTTATGTGAAATGCAGCTCAGATTTGGACAAAATAACTTACCTTCCTTTTTTCCCTGAGTTTAGCAGCCTCTTTAGGATGGTTAAACCTGAACATGTTTGTTCTTCCCAGCAGAATGACAGCACCTTTAGAAAACAGGGAATCAAAATATTATGCAAGGAGTTGCTGAAAAAAAATTCCAAAAGTAGCCAAATGAAATGCAGTATTCTGATCAAATACTCACTTTATACTTTGAAACACAATAAAGCATTCTCACAAATTTACTATTGATGGTTGTAAACACATAGAACTGGCAAGCAAATTGTTAGTCTTTTTGTATTATATAATAATCTTTGCATTTGATAATAGTGTGTTATCACGTTGTTGAGACGTCTCAAAGCACTTCACAGAATATATTGTAATGTGGATTGACTATATGTTGTGGGTGAAAAGCGGCAACCAATTGTGCACAGCAGTTTCCCACAAACATGTTGTGGATTGAGTGACCAAATGTTTTTTTTGTATACAGAAATGGTATTTTCCTACAGCTCCAAAAAGGTGTGGTTGGATAGGAACAAACTTGATGTGCACTGTGAAACTTGATATGCACTGTGCAAGCAGATTTTAAGCAGTTTTGCCCTTCAAAATAACATTGGATTATATTAAAACTTTTATAAAGCTTATAGAAAAAAGCAATTTTCAGCAATATTCAATAATAATAAATAATAATCCTTGCATTTGATATAGTGCCTTATCACGTCTTCGAGACTGACTAAAGCACGACTGCTAAAATCAAATATTCTGCACAACAATACTACATTATTACAATATTACATTTGTAATAACAATGGAGGGCAGAGAGGGTAGGAGTGTGGCCAAAGGCATGGTCGAAGAGGAGGGTCTTGAGGTGTGCCTTGAAGGAGGCAAGGGTGGGAGCACCGAAGCGAAGGGAACATGGGATGGAGTTCCAGAGGTCGGGGGCAAAGAGGCTGAATGCCTAACCGCTGATGGTGGGTGGGGTCAGGTGGGGGACATGGAGCAGGCCAGAACCTGTTGATTGGAGGGAGGGGACAAGTTGATAAGGGGTTAGCAGGTCACAGAGTTAGGTGGGGGCAAGGCCATGGAGGGCCTTGAAGGTGAGAACAAGGATTTTAAACTCAATCCTCTGAGGGATGGGGAGCCAGTGGAGCTGCGCAAGGGTGGGTATGATGGGGTCATGGAGCCTAGTGCGGGAGAGGACATGAGCTGCAGAGTTCTGGATGATCTGCAGCTTGTGGAGGGAAGAGTTGGTAAGGCCAACAAGCAGGGCGTTGACATAGTCGAATCTGGATGTATGAGGGTTTCAGCGGCCTGTGGCAATGGAACTAGACCAACTCTTGCATGTTCTTTACGCAACAAGTCTTCCTTATATAAGACAATATGTACTAAATCTGTGGCTGCAACCAAGTAGCTAATTGATCAGGAAATAGCCTTAAATCTTTTAAGTTTCACAATAATATGTTGGATGTTATTTGTTCAAGTTTGAAAGCTCTCTTTTGCTAATATAATGAACAAGAATAATTTACATTTATATAGCGCCTTTCATGTCAGGAGAATATCTCAAAACCTTCACTGAGCTGGCAAAGCATCCAAGCTGGTGGGTTGGGAAAAGAGAAGAAAAGATGACTGAAAATGAGGTCAAAGAAATTAGTACTTAAGGCACGTTTTAGTGGGTTAAGTGGCGGGATGGAGTTCCAGAGAATGGGGGCAGAATGGCTGGGTGGATCAGATGAGGGACCTGAAGCAGGGCAGTGTTTGCTGAGTGAAAGCAGCAGTTAATTTGGTAGGGCTGCAGGGAGTAGGGTAGGGCGTAAACACACACAAAAGTACTTCCAAACTTTTAAAAATATATAGATTTCAAAATACTGCTACAGCAACTTTTCTTCCCAGGATTTAGAAGAGTTAAGACATCATTTCCATAACACAGCTCTCTTGTAAAAATACATGAACCTCTCCATTTATTGACAGCAGTTGCCACAGGCAGTCAAAGCCTGAGAGGCCATTGATTGTGCTAAATGTAATGCTTTAGAAAGCAGTCCAGCCTAGAGGTATATAAATGTACTATATTATCAATTGTGTGGATTACACAATGCTCATAGCATGAAAGAACTGAAATGTTCTTGAGAAAAAAAAGGATTTAACCTCACCAGATTAACCTTCAACCCAATCAATACAACAGTGAAACTAAACAAGACAAATCTTTTAGTTGCTGGCATGAAGAATTCTTTCCATGTAACCAGAGTATGTTTAATCTGTGCCCATATGTTTACACTAGTTAAGGGCTATTCACGGCAAGAATTAAAGATTACCGATGTATCCAGCAGACCTGAATGTAATTCAGATATAATGCGAAGGTTGGTCACAGTGATAAGAGCTTGGGTCAATTCTATCTTATTTTAAATGACTTTCTTTGCTGAAACTAAAGGACATGTGTGTAAGTGAATACAATATATTAATCTATTTGGAAGCCACTAAAAATGTTAAAATGTGAATATGTGTATGTTCTTAACATTTTGACTGCATGAATTCTAACGTTTTCTGAACATTTAAAAAAAACTATTATGAATGTTTAACTTCTATGAAATGTTTTAGAAATGCAACCAGATTCCGCCTTCATTCAAAACAGGGTTCTACATATTGCTTATGGGTGTCAGAAAGTTCAGCTTTGTATCCAGCACATTGCTAAAATAATTTTTATAGTGCCTCATCACATTAAAAGGTCTCAAAGCACTTCTGAGTTAAAATTACTGTCAAGCGATGCAACTGTTACTGTAGTCAAACATGGTAGCTGATTGCTGTAGCAAGGTCCCACTAGCGGTCATGAAGTGAACGGCCAATTAATTCGAACTAATTAACAGTTTATGAGGAGAGGAAAGCTTTGTTTGTGTAATACAACAGAAACAGCTCTGTAACAAGGAAATTTGATAATGTTTAACTCCCTTATATATTTAAGGGTAAGATCAATTGACATAAGTAACTGGGAGCATGTTTTAATGTCTTAAACCTGATCAAAACCCATCAATTTCAAGACCTTGAAAACCAAGTAAACGTGGTTGAAGAGGAAGGTCTTCAGTTGTGATCTAAATATGGGAAGGGAGGGGGAAAGGCAGAGGGATTGGGGGAAGAGAGTTCCAAAGCGTCTGCACACAGTGCTGAAAGCACACCCGAACAATTATGCCTTAATCCAATATTTAAAATGCACCCATCACCCTGAGTTTTATAATTCCCATACTGCATCCCAAACAATTTCACAATGGGTTGGGAGTTAAACTACGTGGTTGTGTTTAAAGTAATTTCTCACAACGTGGCTATGATCCTATGGATCACTATACCATGATTCTGCCATGTCATTTCTATAGTCAACAACAAAGTACTTTCTAAAACTTTATGCTGGGAGAAAAGAATAGTTGCTTAGAACTACTGTATGTACATCGTCAGCCTTATAAATACAAAGCACAACTCAAAACTTATTTGCACAATGGAATCTGTTTTAACCTTAAAATAGGATAGAGAGGAGAATAAAACACCACCATTATTTATTGTGGATTTAAATTCTGAGACAATCTCAGAAGTATGCTGGATGTACTATAAGAGCTTGAAGCTCATTCGCTTAGATGCTTAAATCAGAAGAGTGAATTATTTAGTGGAAAACTTGAGAGGGTTCAATGACAAACTCAAAGGGCTCTGTATGAAACTATCAGACTGGCAATCGATCAAATACCAACATGAATTTAGATCAGGAAATAGGGTAAACTCATCAGACAGAAATATTTTGCTCTCTGACAAATGTTCCTTTTTGTTATCACCTTTGCATTCCTTGCAGTTCATCATCATTACTAACCAGTGACAATAACCACTGATAGACTATCGTGGGGAATGTTTTAATTGCATCTGTACCCAGCAATATTTTATAAAAGGATGACAAGTAGGACACAATTTTTTCTTTAGATTTAGTTTAATATTTTCTCCTCAGATACCTACCTCCGTACGCACACACACACATTACCTAAAGCAGCACTATTTAGCTATAATTTCCTCAGATAAAAAGAACAAAATAAAGTTAAATCATTTTTATGTGATGAAAACAAAAAAACCTTAACTGCAGCAAAACTTAGCTTTACCAATTTAATAAGAATAATAATCCTTGCATTTGATACAGCGTCTTATCACGTCATTGAGACGTCTCAAAGCTCTTCGCAGAATATATTGTTAAGTGGATTGACTGTGGGTTTTGTAGGCAAAACGTATACATTCCCATTTATATATAATGAAGAAAAACTTATCAACATATCTAGAGAAGATTCCAAGACCTATCACAAAATAATTTAATACCATAAGAAATGTTTCACTAGAATACTAAAAGGCATTTTGTGTCAGTTAATGGATGCTACATTCACTATTTTACAACTTGGACTTATATAGAGGCCTCCACGCAGGGTAGCGTCTCAGAGCATTTAACAATGACGGAGCCTGACTCTGAGCCGGGGGGAGGTGGTAGGTGGCCGTAAGCATGGTCGTACAGGAAAGTTTTCAGGTGGGACTTGAAAGAGGGGAGAGAGGGGGCAAGGCGGAGGGATTGAGGGAGAGTGTACCAGAGTTTTGAGGCGTAGTGGCTGAAAGCATGACCTCCGATGGTGGCACAGAGGGTGCAAGCGACGAGCAGGAGGTCGGTGCCAGTTGAGCGGAGACCCCAGGTGGTGGATTGGGGAGTGAGAAGATCGGAGAGGTAGGGAGGTGCCAGAGAATGAAAGGATTTGAACACAGGAGCGAGGATCTTGAAGTCGATCCGTTCGGTGATGGGGAAGCAGTGGAACCTGGCCAAAACTGGTGAGATGTGGGTACGGAGTTTGGTCCGGGTCAATATGGGTGCGGCAGAGTTTTGAATGAGCTGGATCTTGTGAATAATGGAGCTGAATGAATGAATAATGGAGGAATGCGTTGGGGTAATTCAAGCAGGAGATGACGAACGCACGCACGAGGGTTTCGGTTGCATTTGATGTAAGGTATGGTCGGAGGCAGGCAATGCATGATTTCCCTATATTTCAGAATGAATTCATGAATGAATACATTGCCAAAGTTAACTAATAAAAATTAAAGCTTATATGGGACCATAAGGCAACAGACTGATGTGAATTTCAAATATTGATCTCACATTGTATTTATCTTACCTTTATCTTGCAGGATTTAATAATAATAATCCTTGATTTATTTTGTGCCTTGTCACGTCTTCAAGACGTCTCAACACTTCACAGAATCTACTGTAAACTTACTTAACTGTATATTTTATAGGAGAAACGCAGCAGCCAATTGCACACAGAGGTGTCCCGCTTTTTTTTGAAGGGATTATTACTCCCTGGAAAAGCAATCCGCCAATCAACTGACAACTGGGTTCCTATTTTATTTCTAGGTGAACAGAGGCATGTGGAGTAAGGAAACTTGCCTAAGGTTTCGCCATGATCAGAAATCAAACCCCGGTTGTCTCGTTTGCGAGTTGAGTGCTGTAACCAATACCCTACAGGACTCCACAATGAAGGAAAATAATTTTTTTCTTTTTATTCCAATGAGGGGAAATAATTTTTCTGCACATGGAACTTTTTAATTTTAATCAGATTCAACCTTATCAAGGTTACCCATAATGTATACTTAAGAGGCAATGCTTACATAAAACTGTCCGTTTGCACTTATTTAACTGTGGAATGCTTTAATGGTATAAAAAGAGTCCAATACCAAAAGGTTAATAGTTTTACCAAATAAGATAATCTGTGAAACACTACACATGAAATAGGATCACCACAATCTCTTTATAAAAGTCAGTTTTCCTCTTCTCCTTTTAACTTGAATCTTTCCCATATTTGATCAGTTCAGTACAGACGTACTGTTATTTTACATTTTGATATTATAGTATTTCATAAGATTCAAGGTACAGACAACTTTTTTATAATGGCCCATTCCCCCATCCCCATATAATACTTCGATTATAATGCTGGTGTCCTCCGGTGTACCCATGCTAACCAGACGTGCAATAAACCTGGAATCCAAAGCCGACTGGCCAGCTTCCAATGCTAAATGATGTCTAACTTCTGGGTTCTCAGATCACCAGGCCCATGCACAGAAAGCCCAGTTAAAGTTATTTTGTGAAGGAGTTGAAGTCAGCGACAAGTTTTGTGGAAGTATTCAGCAGTGCCCTGATGATTGAGTTGACCCTTTTTTTGCACTTAGTTTATAACGTGGTCATTGAGATACTGACCACAATATAACTGGGTTTCCCTGTATTCCCAAAGGAAAGCATTGGTGAGCCAGGCTTCAGATAAGCAGAGTGGTTAACTAACCTTTTATGATACTCCATCCCATTACCACAGAAGTATATGGAAAGTTCAATAATACTTTAATTAAGGGATACTGGGAAAGAGCTGGAAAGTGGAATTATTAAAAAAAATTCAGTGATTAAGAGGCAAATGCATATCCCTCCAAGGAGAGGGAGTACCCTATTTCATTGGTTCCCAAACAGGGGTCTGCTGTGATTTAATGGGATAAGGTGGCAATTGGAACAAACCGTCACCATCGGCTCAAGCGCTTGATCCTTGTGGACCAATCACAATCCTTGTTCCCTGAGGACCAATCATGCCTCCACCTTCACAGCAACAACTTGTATTTATATAACGTCCTTTGTGTGGGATAGTATCTCAGAGCGCTTAACAGTGGTGGAGCCAGACACCGAGCCGGGAGAAGGTGACTGTAAACATGGTCAAAAAGGAAGGTCTTCTTACAATCACTGTACTTGCTCCATGTGGGCCTGTTGCATCCCTCCGCAGCTTCAATAGCCAAACGTTACTGGCTGAAATCTGACCGATCGGGTCACGTGATGCCAATGGCAGGTGAGGTAAGCCTTACCAATGCAGATCAACAGAGTTTGTGTGTTATCTACATTAACATTGTTAAATCTTACATTTATTTTCTTTAATTCTTTTAAAATGCTCTTTGCAAATTAAAGTAAGGTCCTCAATTTCTATGGATTAACGTGTGGGGATGCTCAGTCAGGGTGCTTAATGTAATGGGGAGGCCCTTGGGCCCAGAAAGTTTTGGAACACAAATTGAAATTTACATGCATATGGGGAACTTTTAAAAGTTTGGTTTAAATCCTCTTTAGATTGGTGATGTTTAAGATCCTCGGCTGACCAAATAAGAAAGACCACACGGGAGAGGTAGCCTTTGACATTCTACAACAACAAATTGCTTTTATAATGTTGGGAGGACATCCCAAGGTGCTGGACAGTGAAGGGTTTGCACCCGAGCTGCGGGTTGGAATCAAGAGGGGGCAGGGCAAGCTGGTTGGGAAGATAATCAAAGGCATGGTCGAAGAGGAAGGCCTTGAGGCGGGCTTTGAAGTAGGATAGGGGAGTGAGCGAGATGGAAGAGCTACGGAATAGAATTCTAGAAGGTAGGAGCAAAAAAGGATGAAGGCCCAACAGCTGATGGTGGACCGGGCAGAGCGGGGGACATGTATCAGGAGTTCCCGCTGAGCGGAGCGAGCAGTGAAAGATCGATAGGTCCCAGAGATAGGGAGAAACAAGACCCTGGAGGGCTTTAAAGTTTTGGCATAGAAAAGGATCTTGAACTTGATCCTCCGGGGGATGGGAGAGCCTGTGAAGCCGGGCGAGGATGATTGGGTCACGGATCTTACTCTACTCCAATATACAATCCTGCATTCAGGAACAAAGTGATTAGGGGAGGTAATTGTAAGATAAAAGAAAGTAAACACTTGGAAAGGAATAAATTAAGATTATTTGATATTCTAAATGAAACATGCTTCTAATTATGGAGTGGAATGCTTTGATTTGGCTTCCTGGCTTTGTATTAACACACAAGAACTTGTTAAGTAAATGGTAGCTTTTGTATTCATAAAAGTTACTTTAAAACCTGGAATCTTTAGTTATCATTACAACTCATTCAATTTTATATATTTACATACGAAGAGGTACCTTGGTTTAGGTGGCTGGCCTCCTTAATTTGAATTCCATTTACAGAACACTGTGCATCATTCAATGGAATTAGCATCACTGTATTGTTTAAGTTTTCAAAGATGCAGTGATCACTTTCTAGGTCAAGACCATGTAGAACTGAAAGACAAACAGTAAATATGAAACGTGAAAAAAAATAAATCTCACTTATTTCTGCCTCTTCTTGTTCTTGGCCTTACTCCAGATTCTTTCTACTTTTGAATACTATAATCTGAATTTTGTTCACAGGCAAATGACAAAAGAGATTTATCTACGTAACGGTGAGCTCTTATCAGACATAAATGCAGAAACAAAGAAATACTGAATAGCTCCTTTACATGGACACATGAATATGTTCTATTTCTGATGGTTGGTAACTTTATCAAACCTCAGTGGTGTGATCATCCAACTACAATGGAGCCCCATTATAAGGCAGTAGATGGGATTAAAAAAAACCCAAGCAGATCAGCACTTCCATATTTATTGCCCATGTGTTCAACTTCCTGGTTCCCATGTTATAAATGCCAGATTTTCAGATCGCCATTTACGTATTGGCAATGTGATGACCCAAAAGTCTTTCAATTTTTTTTAAAAAATGTTTAATTTTTTTTTAAAAAAGCTTGAGAATCTAAAACGAAACTCCAGATAATCAGGTTGTCATCTATGTGACTTCCTGCCCTGCCCACCTGACAGCAATCCAATGACCTGAAAGTCTTTAGACTGGCTGATGTAATGGAAGTGTTCTTGCTGGCTTCCCGCACCCGCAGTAAACGGAGTCTGCAGTCCAGCTCTATAAACAGACTGTTATTATAATCACGGGGCGCTTTATCTAGTGGGTAATGTATGCATATTGCACTGAATGATCAGAGGATCTTTAGTGCCTAAGAGAAAAAAAGATCAAAACAAAAGATACGAAAGCACTGAAATGTCCTGACCAAATAGGATAAATTAACTAACCAATGTCTTGCTCAGTTGTTGCGTCATCTCGACCCACATATGTTTTTCCCTCCTATTAAGTAAAACACACATTTGTAAGATTCAGTAAAACATTACAAACTACTCAACTCAGTTCAGCAAACAGCTTTTGCAAAATACTATTTCATTTTCTTAAAGACAAGAAACACAAATGCTATTTACAACGGACTACCGATTAACTATACATATAGTTGCTTCAGGTTTAAATTCGAGATTCACTTGAGATTAAAATTCAGGCAATAGGAGGTACAGATAACATTCAAAAAGCTGCCACCTAGCACATTTCATGCAAACCTTGTTGAAAAATTCAGAAAGTAAACATGCAATTTAACTCCAGATTTGTGAGGGAGTGGATGAAAATAAGATTAAAAAGTAAAAGGGGAAAAAAAAATCAAACTGGATGAGAGGAGTAGTTTTTCATTGCTTTGCTCACCACAGTAAATGTTTTGCGTTTTAAATGCCTCAAAACGTTCACAGAGAGATCACCCTAAATAGGAGCTGTGGGGTTACAAAAATATCCTTACCTTGAGATGGTATAAAATAATCCCTGTACTAAGCAAGTCATCATCAATGCCAATTAAATGAGGTAATTCAGAGTCCAAAACCACACCAATTCCTTCCTTTCGAAGTGCTAAGGTTTCTTCCTAAAACAGTAAAAATGAAAATCAAGTTAGAGAAACTGAACATTTATTAGCTGTAATGAATCCATTGTTTTTTAAAAAAATCAAATGCGAAGAAAATTATTTTTCAGTACTATTTTAATATAATTCACAGCCAAAGGGGAAAAAAATTGCCATGGCATTCAGGTGTAAACTTCCACCTTCATCTGGTAATGTCTACAATAAAGTGAAAGTACAGAATAAAGCTTCAGACATTAGGGTTTTGGCAGTTTCAACCCAGTTGGTACTGGGCATTGGCTCCTGGCATAAAACTGTTCTCAATCATGGTTGGGAAGAGAGATGAGAATTGCATGCCTGTACATTATGGGATATCTTCTGAGGTTGAGGTAATCTAATAATATTTCCATTTGATAGAGTCTTATCATGTAGTCGAGACATCTCAAAGCATTTTGCAAAATATACTGTAAAGTGGTTTTACTGTGTATTTTGTGGACAAATCCCAGCAGTGAGTTTGCACCCAGCTGTGTCCGACAAACAAATAGTGAATGAACATTTTTTTTATTTGGGGATTGTTGGCCAGGACACCAGGAGAAACACCCTTCTCTTTTCAACAGTGCCATGGGATCTTTAACATTTACCTGAACAGGTAGATGGGACCCTGGTTTAACATTCCATCTGAAGGATGGCATCTCACAGCATTGAAGTGTCATCTTAGACTATGAGATTTCAAGTCCTGACCTGGGACTTGAACTGATAACCTTGTGACTCAGAGGTGAGAGTACTAACACTGAGCCAGGCTGACACTTCAGGAGAAGCTTTACTTGGCGTCAAATGTTGCTAAACAACCCAGGAGAACTGCATGCTAGTCATGGATGTCAAGAATCCAAAACAAATTCACTTTGTAGTTTGTATTAACATCTCTGACCTTGAACACAAAATTCACAAACTAAAGTCTGAAAAGACAGGATTCTATAATTTGATCAAGATCGGATAATGAAGTACAAGTTTAAACTCCTACACAGACATTAAGTATTTTATTTTTTTAAATCAAAACTAATTACTGCAGTACTTTTATACTACTATTATACTGCAGTATAATTGCTTACTGCACTGATTTCATCTTGAACTTTATAAAACAGACCAAAAGGTATTACAATCCTTTCTGATCAATGTCTGGCAACTACAAAAAGTTATTTCTCTTCCTCAGTTTACCAATGTTTTCATTGTATTTATACAGAAAACAATAACTGTTGTTTAATGATAGCAATGAGGGGGAGGTAACGTTCATGTAACATTACAAACAATAATATCAAAGCTCAAGTGACTTAAACCCACTATTCTATGCAAATGACAGCTCAAAGTGTGCCGAGCATGATGTAGCTGCGAGGCCTGGCTCTTCACTCTACCTCCTTCAGTTATTGCTTTTAAAATGCAAAAATAGACTAATTATCTGTCTTTTTGTGCAATCTCCACCACTCTAACGTTTGAATCATTAGCATGAAACAAGATGCCACTGCGTACAAGCCTTAAACACTAACTAGATGCCAAACAATTGTCTGCAGAAGACATCATGCTGAGGTGTGCTCATTAATACCTCGCTCAGCCACATAAACTTCCAAAGAGTTTTATATTATTTAGTGCTTCTGGTATAGAAAATAAATTGAAACCAGAATAATTTGGAATTGAGATTTAAGGTGTTCAGTTTATTTTGGTGTGTGGCTGTACTCGGTATTCATAGCAAAGGTTTAAAAACTTAGGGCAATTAAGTTTTACATAATCATGAGAGAGGAGCTAAAATAAGAAAACAACTTTACAGTCGAGACATTTTCAGCAGATCAATGCAACACATTTTCTTACTTGTAAGAAGAAACCAATTACCACCCTACAAATTGTTAAAAATGGAGTTTAATGTGCAAAGGACTGAAGAAACTTTATGAAAGTTGTATCTTAGAAACTAGTGGCAAATATCATTAATGCAATTCTTTACCAGGCAGTCTGCATGACCATTATAAACATTCAGCCAACTTTGGGAATTTTGGAACAGCTTATGAAGCTCAGTGTCAGTTGCAATACACCTGTGATTTTCTTGTTTATTTAAACTTCAAAATAAACAAGATTAGTCATGTTGAGAATAAAAGTTATAAGTACATGAAAGCAAAGATCCAACATAAGATGCAACTGGCTATAAGCCTCGAGCACTAACTGGATGCCAAAGAAATGTCTTCAGAAGGCATCATATTGAAATGTGATCATTAAGACCTCATTCAGCCACATACAAATTCCAAACAGTCTACCAGTGGAAGGAGCTGATGACCAAAAAAAAAGAGCTAATAAAATATAATTTAACGGATAATGGCTTGAAGATAAGGCAGGTGGCAGGGCTGCTGTGATGGAACTGAAGGAGGGAAAGTAAAGATAGACCCTTTAACTCCAGCCTCACCTCACTTAGAGCTGGGGAAATGATAACCTATAACCAGGATCTAAAAAGGGGAGAAATAATGTCTCCAGAAGCTTTTCAGGTTCTTGGCAGCAGGTAATTAATCTTCTCATATACGGCTATAGTTCACCTATGTAAGCCTTCATTGCTGCTCTCAGTAATCCATTAAGATTTTAAAAAAATCTGAACGTTTTACCAAATCACCACAGCATCCGGGTAGGTTTCAAAGGATCATTAATTTGTTCTCAAATAAAAAAGATGCAAAAAGTAGGTTAACTAAACAGCCCAGGAACTTTTGGGGACCCTATGAAATAAATAACGTTGACTTATTTGATGGCTGGTAACGAGGACACAAGTTACATTGCAAATTGAAGTACCTAACTATGAAAAACTGATAAATAGGTGAAAAAGAAAAGAAATGCTATGTCCCGTCGTCGTCCCCGAGATGGGACTCCTGCTTTGCTTTGTGTGAAGGATGGTAAACTAATTAGGAAAAAAAACAACAAATTGCTTGGAACACACACACCCTAATAGATGTTGTCAGTTAAATCTTACTGTTCCCTGGAAACAAAATTTGATTCTTTGCTCACTTCACAAGGGACTTTGTCGTGGGAAGAATGAATTTCCATTACAAATCTTGCTCCTTAATTTATTGAGTTTTGCATGAAGTATTGAGGTGACAATAAAGAAATGTGAAAAACGTCTTTAAAAGTTTGCACAAGGGTTCCACAAAGTTACTTGATGCTATGCATTCTGATTTTCATAGTGATACTCAACAAATTTAGCAGCCAGACTTATCGAATTTCTCAGAAATTACTGATCTTTACAATGCACCACACAAGGTTGAATGCTGAATTTGGTTGACGTATCAGATTTCTCAGTTTATTGGGCAACACAAAACAAGTTGTGCAGAATTCAGTAATTCAGTGTACTAGACTCAGATAAATTTGGTGCAAATCCATTAAGTCATCAAGATAAAACTGAAAAATATGATGGCTGGTACAATAACGTTGAATTCACTGGAACTTTTCCAACTCTAATATCTGCCCAGAAGCAAAATAAACCTTTACTGAATTTATTAAAAGACCACGTTTTATAAGCAATGGTTCACACAGGGAAAAGCACCATAGCAAGGTTGAAACATTGAGCTCCAGTACTTCTCCTAATCAAACTAATTTATCCCTTTTACTTCACAGTGGTTAGCAAAGGAAATTTGCAAAATTTTGCTTTTTTGCACGTACGGCATCTTGGCAGATTTAAAACAATAAAACAAATAGTTAATGAATACGTGAATAAATCCATATCTCAAAATAAAAAGGTCCTTTCAAGATCTCTGATTTCAGCTTCTTTTTTTTAAGATGACCGTTCCTTCTGCAGTCACAACGAAAAAGGTGCAATATTGGAGGCAGGTGAATCATGGCACATTCATCTACAAGTCAAACAATAATGCTGTTTTGAAGACTGGTCAATTGAAGCTGTACTTCTGGTCAAGGACAAATAGCTCCACTGCATTAAAAATTGATTTACAGATATACAACCTTCTTCATCCACTAAGAGCCAATTAAGATTATTAAATTAATAATCCTACAGATACCGAAATGCAAAACTACAATATTATCACTTAGCCACCAGGCCAACCTTAGCATATGAATTTTTAATGCTGCAGTCATACGCACCTAGCATTCTTTAATGTCTTGCAGCTTTGAAATTAAAATTTGCAATTCACTAATTTTAATACCATTTGTGTCAAAATAAATAAATTGAAAAATACTGAGTGAAACTAAGAGTAAAAATAATTTTTTAGCAAATTATCATAGGATGTGACAAATTTGTTTATTCCTTTAGGGCAAGAAAGCAAATTCAATATTCAAGCAGTTATGACAAACTTCAGAGAAGTGTCATTGTCAGCCTCTAACATTTTGCCATCACTATTCAAAAAAAAACTTCCAAATGCATAATATTCTTGACATTCTGCTGTCGCCTTCCTGATGCAGTTAAATAAATATTTGAACAGAGGGTTGTGAAAATGTGGAATGTATTCTATGCCCCTATTTCGGAGCATTGTAAAAATATGGAAAGGACTGTCCCAGAAGGCTCCAAGGACAAAAATGAACTGGGAAGGAGTTCTAGAGAGTGGGGGCAGAATTAGCTGCTCCATTCACATGCAAAATAAATCAGTCACTACACATTATTAAATCTTATGTGGTAAAGCGCTTTGAGACCATAAGATACTCTATCAAATGCATTTCTCTTTACCTTATCTATAAATAGGAATAGAGGAGAATATTTCTAAGGTTGCTGATGAAGGTGTTGCACAGTGTTAAGACAACAGAATATTGCAAAGAGACAAAAACAGATTAAGTGAGTGGGTAGAACTATGGCAAATGGAGCTTAACTTTGCAAAGTGTGTTGTAGCACATAATAATAGAGAATGGGAATATGGGTTAAATAGGGAAGCAATTGGAGATTTAGATGAGCAAAAGGATTCAGGGGTTCTATTCCATAAATCGTTAAAATCTAATTTGCAGGTGAAGAAAGTAATTAATAAGACTAATGTGCTGGGCTTCATAATAAGAGCTCTGAAATA